CTTGAATGTCTCCAGGGAGCATGGTTGGGGAAAAGGACTAGTCCAAAACACTTAGTCTAGAGGAAGAAGAGTCAGGCTCTAAGATAATGGTTCTAACTCGAAGAGACAACACAGAGGCGACACAGGGAACTGGACCCAGAGCAATGGCTCTGCAGAAAGGGCTGGCTACAGTTCAGGCCTCCCTGTCCCTTCCCACATCTCACAGCTCCCCCTCCTAGGTCTTTGTCCCCTTTCTGGCTCTCTTCCTACCCCCTGCACCCTGATTCCAGTTCTAAAATCTCTCTACCAGTAATTTCCAGAAGTAGACTGGAGCCCATCATGGCCCTGAAGGAAATATACATGATTAGTAGAAATTTGAAAAGCTGCAGAGCCTCAGTAATAATTTGAAGAGAAGGAATAAAGCATGGGTACTTGGGAAAGGTCTTGAACTGGAGTGGTGATAGTCACATGGCTTTTTCTAAACACTGACACATACACATTTATCATCTGCTCAAGATGAAAAACATTAAGCTTTTTTTTTTCTTAAAGAAAAACAGTATTGCTTGGAGGCTTTTCTAACCAGTGCAGGTATACACAGCTGAGCACATCCCTGACAAGTAGGGAAGCTCAGCAAGCTTCCATAACCACTCCCACCCCATTCTGGACATTTTATTTTATTTGCACAGGTGCCTGTAGCTGGGCTGCATGGCTGCCTTGGGGCAGGTGCAAGGGCATTTGCAGTGGGACTATGGGACCCCAATTTGGAGGCTTTTCTTACCAATGCAGGCACACACAGCTGAGCACACTGGCTCCTGGGGGGTGATGCTCAGTGAGCTTCTAGGACCACCCCATTCTGCAAGTTTTTATTTTGATGCACACAGGTGCCTGTAGCCGGGATGCATGGCTCCCACTGGAAGGCCCTGGCCAATGGTGCCAGGCAAAGAGCCTTGGGCCACCTGGCACCAGCCCTCACAGTTTAAGGGGTCTTGATTTATAGGGGGAAGATGGGATCAAACAGGTGGTGGTTAGAGATGACCTATGGTTTTTATGCTCAGGTTAAGAATTACAGCTGAGGGACTTCCATAGACAAATCCACAACATGTGTATGTAAGTAGGGGACTGATACCAAATTGGCTTCGAGGGCAGAACAAGAGTGAGAGAAGTGGGTCTTATAGCAGAATCTGAGGGGTGGAAATGTGGGCTCACCCCTGTGGAATTGCAATCTCTGCTGCCTCGCCTAAGAACTATGGATGCGGTCAGGACTTGCTGCAGAGCTAAGGGGACACCAAGGCTGGTTTGGGGTTCCCACTGGTGACAATGAGAGTAGGATTGGGGACAGCAGGCTTGGCTGGACACGGCTACAGCCTGTACCAGCAAGGCTGTGTATTTGGGACTGTGGAGCTTCAGACTGGGCTTGACTCCAGCCCCTACTGGTACATGTAAGAGCCAGGTTGGATGTAGAACAGGCCAGGCTAGGTGTTGACTCCTGCTGAACCATGTGAAAGCTGTATCTGGGCACAGACTAGGAATCACTGGGCTGCAACAACTAATAACAAAAACTGCTGGGATCCATGCAGTAGGTGTAAATAACATGAAGGTGTGAAGAGAACAGCTCTCCTGCTTGGCAGGGCCCAGGGAAGCTTCCAGCTGTTTGGCAGGGTCTGGAGGATTTCTCTCTGACCACCTTGACACAGTTTCACCTCCTTTTTGCATGGACACTCAACCACCTCACTAAGAATTTTGTAATCTATTGAGGCCTTGTTTGTCCCAGTGAGATGGCTTTTGCAACCAACATGAGCTTTAGAGTTAATGTTATTGATAATGTCTTGGTGAGTGGGCCTTTAACTGCACACAAGAGTACAATTAAACCCATGCCGTTTCTGGACACATTATTGTGTGCCTACCATTGCCCTGAAATTTGGCCCTGACATATAGCACGCCTTCTGAGAAATGGCTTGATAAAAATTTTACAAATTAATGAAAGTGATGGGAGTATGGGTTAAAACTGCTATGACAAAAAATATAGCTACTGGGACACTAAAGGCTATCCTGTTACTGGGACCCTAAAGGCCATCCTGTTTCTGTGACCCTAAAGGCTGAGCTTGCAGGCCTAATGGCCAACTAATGTCAATGACCCCAATCCCCATAAACCAAATCCCCAATCTCCAAACCTTTTAACCCATACATAATTCAAGATAGGGGCCTGAATGTCACAGGTGGTGCCAAGGATAGAGCACAGACTTGAGGAGAGCAGGTGGGGGCTGGCAAGCCAAAATAAGCAAGGAATGTGTAATCCTTCCTCATTCATCTCTCAAGTTGTTGTAAATTGTGCACTCCCTTCCCCAAGGCCATGTCAAACTGCCCCTAAAGAAAACCTTGTACTGCTATATAAATAAAGTGGGCAACTTTCTTGCGTGGTCCACAATGACCTTGGAATTGTAGTGGTCCATCTCTTCTCTGTACGCCTATTTCGAGCTCCGAACTTAGCTGGAGCTGGACTCTGGCAAAAAACCAGAATGTGTGTGGCCGGTTGAGCAAGACCACTGTTCTTGTCAGGACAGGAGGTAGACAAAGCCAATGACCCACTGATGTGTGCGAGAACTGCCACTGGGAGAAGACTCGATGGAGGAGCTTGGGAAACTCCTTCATTGGGATGCAGTCTCTGCAGGTGAGCACAAGAAGCAAGGCAATGAGTAGCCCAGACCCACTGGTATACATGTAGGTCATGTCTGGGGACAGACCAGTCTGGGCCACCACATAACACCCACTGGCAGATTTGAGAACCAGGGCAGGGAGCAGGATGAGCCATATGGCTGCAACACCAGTCAGTTCACATTAGGAGCAGGATAGCAACCAGACTGGGCTGGGATAGGCTGCAGCACCCTCCAGTAGGAGCTGGAACAGAGGGCAGACTAGACTAGACCAGGCTGTGCAAGAGACTGTGGACACTGATGTGAGGTGAGTCATGGCAGCCTAGGCCCAGCAAGGGCTGGGTTCATGATTCCCAGGGGATGGGGGATTTGGCGGGACTCACCATCAATTACATGGGTGGCAGGTATGTGAGCCCAATGGGTGGGGGATCCAGTAGGGCTTGGGTCTCTTGGCCTGGGTCCCAGGGCCTGCCTACCTGGTGAATGCCAGGTTTATAAGACCCAGGGATGGGGGATCTCGTAGTGCTTGAGTTTCTTGACCCAAGTCCTGCGGTTCCCGCCGATTAGGTGGGTGTCAGGTTCCTGAGCCCCAGGGGTAGGGTATCTGATGATGCTTGGGACGCCTGGCCCAGGTATGTGGACTTGCCTGCAAGAACATGTCCTACTTAATGAAATAGGTGGAGCAGTGGACACAGGCCCTGTTGTAAAACAATATGGCAGCTCATTGGTGCTATAGCAGAAAAAGGAAAACAGAACAAACTGGACAACTACCTCAAACAAACGATGACAGCAAAAAATCTCAGTGAATGAAACCAATGGACATTGGAAAGATGATATCATCCTTGGATCTGTAAAATCGGTAGCTTTTCAAAACTATCCAAACTTGGGCAGAACCCTCGGAATATGTACACACTGAGACTCTGAGTTGATAGGAGGTGGTGGTTCCTCATTCCTGGGGTACTGGGATGTGTGGAAAGTCATGAGTGGTTCCCCCTTTGTCTTTCTCTTTCCCCCAGAAACAAGAAGAAGAAATAGCATATTTGGAAGCAATGACTTCACTCAATTTTCCCTAAACCTCAATCCTCCCATACTGATCAACAATGTAATCAGAATAAAAAATTTTAAAAAGTATTGCAATAAAAAGTATTAGTATCTTCACACTTAAAAATAACACAGAATATTGGAATAACCAAAATTGATATTCCAATCACTAAAGTAAATATTTTCAATGGCCAGTATATATTGTAATAAAACTAAAAGTTTATACATCTGATATTAAAGTTATGCTATTCTAAGATATTATACTTTGTGATGCTTAACTGTTCATGTGCATCGAAATATCTCCACTCCCATTGGTTGTGTTGGATTAGACACAGGCATGTATATATTTTTACAAGCTTAGGTGGTTCTAGACTATTGGGGGGCTAAGGACGGGTGCTGTGTAGACGCATGAGTAACGGTAGGAGTGGAACGGTGTATGCTTATGATTGTAAGTGATGGGTTGAGAAATGGTGATTAGTCACTTTGAGAGCATGCGGTCCTACTCATATGAGTTGGGAGTGCACTCATGGCTTAATTTGTTTTAGCGTCTGTACAACGTTGAAAGTTTAGGAATCGGTCACAAGACCATAAGTAGTTCCTGGACATGGTGGTTGCTTTTACGCCAAATTCCCTTCATTAGGAACGGAGCCGTTTCCAGGCGAATCTCGCGCTGGGGGTTTATTGGTATTTCTAAGGGCCAGTAGGAGGGGTGGTGTGCGACACAACAATTGCCAGTGTTGATGGGGTAGTAGTGAGATTGCCGCTCAGTAAGGATAGGGAAAGGGGGGGGGGGGGGGAGTGTTGTAGTTTGAAGTGTTGAGGATGTATGAAGATGGGGGGTGAGTGGGTGTTGTGAGGTGAGGGTGGTTGTGAATAAGTGAGGTGGTTGGCGTTGTGATGGAGTTTATGTGTTGTGAGTAAAAGAGTTAGGTTTGTAGGTTTAGTTTTTAGGTGTTTGGGTGTTGATGGATGTGCAAGAGGGTAGGCAGAGGTTTAAGCTTGGAAGGGTCAGGAAGAATTGAGGATAGTTCAGTAAGGTTAATGGCATCGAATGATGTGAGAAACTCATCCTCAAAGGTTGTTAATCAGTGAATATTGAATAACTCACATTGTTGCATAGACTATTAGTTTGATATGATTGATATTTTATTAATGTTCTATCTTCTAGATATGGCTTTTGATATTATAGATGAGTTTGAATGTTATATTAATAGGACGTTTTAATATAGTTAGTGATACACTGGTGATTCATGGTTAAGTTATTAACTTCAATTTATTGCTATTTACTTTTAATATATGCATTATGAAAAGTGAAGTTTAATAACATACCTTGGGTCAAGAAGACTTCTCAAAAATTTGAAAAGCAACACCTGGTTCTGGATAGGAAAGAAAATATAATTAAGACAGATTTTTCTAATTAAGCAACAATAAAGAACTACTCTAGACTGTTCCTTTAAGATGCAAACATAACAGCAATTTCAATTAAGTTTTCTGTACTGTCTGAGAAGTTCTAAGGAATCATTCGGAGGTCCTTTATGTCCTCTCAGTAACTCTAATCACCGTCACACGTTCCACTTTGAGTGCAGAGGGAACAGAGGCCCCTTGTTATCACCAAAAGACCCCTAGTAAGATAACTCCCAATCCATTTCCAGTAGAGGGCCCTCGCAGCAGCTTAGAACTGCTCTCCTGACAGTTCTGGCAGCACCATCACTGCCTTGCCTGGTTCTCCTCAGTGACAGTGGTTTGCTGTGACATAATCTAGGTTGGGAGAGACCTTGAGGCCCACGTTAACAACCATCACCAGCGCTTTCCACAACACAATCAGCTGCAGAAGATATGGCAATCAAGCTGTAACACGCTAGCAGTCAGCATGCCCTAAGATGCAGCAGTCGGCCTCTGGCATTCATTAATTACGTGACTTGATCTAAGTCACTTGTCCCTGTTAGCAATTCAGTTTCCTTTCATGAGGGAAAACAAGAGAACAGTGGTAGCTTCTCTGCCTTATGCAAGGAGCAAGAGCAAGGGCTAAATGAGGTAAAACTTCAAATACCACCAAAATGCAAAGCATTTATAGGTTCTTGGGAAATCTGAGCGAAAAATAACCATTGTCTTGTCTTTCCATTTAATTTCATCTACTTGAAGGGTAGAGAGAGAGAAATATTCCATCCACTGTTTCATTCCCCACATGCCGCCAACAGTCAAGATGGCCAGGTGGAGGTCAGGACAATGCTATTCAGATCTCCAATGTGGGTGGAAGGGGACTGGTACCTTTTTTTTTTTTTTAAATGATACAGTTCCATAGGCTCTGGGATGTCTCCCTCCCCTCCCTTGATTTCCCCTCCAGTATTACAATGGGAAGCCCTCCATGAACAGCCATAAACCTATCATTCCATTATTGAAGTGTTCCACAACATTATAGGCATGGACAATATCAGAGTGCAGCATCCTACTGTTAGGATATATTCAACACTTTCACACTGACTCCATCCTTGGTCTGGATGCACAGATGCGCACTGCACTAATGGGCCTGGGTACTTAAATCATCATCTGCTGCCTTCAAGGATGTCTTGTACTCATATCAACACTTCAGTTCAGGGTTTGGGATTCGCAAGCAACAGGTTTAACCTTCTTAGAGTGAAGCCTGAGCACTTTTTATTTTCTGATTCAAATTTCACCTGTAAAAAGGTAGGGGTGGCTCTTTTAAATTTGAAAACATCATTTAGAATACAGTTTAAAAAATATACTAATAGGAGTGGATGTTTAGGATAGAGGTTCAGATGCCTGCATTCTATACAGGAGTGCCAGGGCTCAAAAACTAGCAGCTGTCTCCAGCTTCCTGTTCATGCAGAGTGTGACAGTCAGCAGTGACAGCTCAGTGACTTGGTTCCTGCCACCCACGTAGAAGACCAGGAATGAGCTCCTGGCTCTCAGTGTCAACCAGCCTTGCCCCAGCTGTTACAAGGCTGTTGGGGAGTAGAACAGAAGATGGCCAGTTCTCTCTTTCAAATAAAATATTGTGGGGTATGCAGCTAGTTCAGGGTCACAAGCTTGAAAGTTACACCTTCCCTACCCACACAATCTTGTCTGCCCACTGTGACACTCACGTATCATCACCTGGAAACTGAGAGGCGGCAGTACTTCACTATTGCATAACCGCTCCCCTCATAAGCCCCCATAAAGGACTGTGATAGGGAGGAGTTCGCTCTTTTGGTCCAGTGCTTCCATCACCCTAGCACTCTGACTCTTGGCCTCCCAGCCTGCTTGCTCTCTGGCTTTGCACGGACAGCTTCCAAGAACAGGTAGCCCCTGAACATGGCCCTGTGCATCTTTATTCCCCACCTCTGTAAACTGCTGGGACAGAACAGATGTTAATGCTAAGATGCTTTGAATTTTTAATTTGTATACTTTTGAGAATTCCAGAAGTGATGTCTAGCAGTAATGGAATGTGGACTGAGAAGCCAAGGAAAGGTGAATGTTTGCAGCTTTGTAAGTGCATCCAGGTTCTTGCTGCATGTCTCTTAGGATAACTTACATTGCTGGGGAAGTTGGGACATAGGTCTTCAGTTTAATGGTAATGACCGTTTGTTTCTCTCAGGGTTTTGATTCAAACTGGATTGTCATATGGACTTGTCATTTGCCAATTTCTAGTGGACTCTTTCATCACCAAGTTTTGTAAATAAAGAAACTTTGAATACATCCTGGACTTGTCTGGCTTGATCTCTCTGCACTTCACAACAAAAGCTTTTTTTTATTACTTCTTTTCTTTTTATTATTATTATCATTTTGTGATACATAGTTCCATAGGCCCTGGGATTTCCCTTATTCCCTCCCCAAGTCCCTTCCCCACCTCCACTGAGTTCCTCTGTATTATTACTATAGAGTCTAGTTCTTCATAAACAGTCATAAATACACACACACACAGTTTTCTATTTTCCCCTATCACTTCATTTTATACACTTTTCTTCCTAGTTATACAACATATTGGCTTATTTTCATTTTAAGAATTCTGAAAATAATTAGAGGTATACTCCTTGCCAACAAAAAGTAAAGATACCTTTTAAGATCTGTGTAGGATTCTTGCATGATCTGAAAAGCTTTGAAATCAAATAAACATTTCGTGGCTTTAAAAGCAATGACTAAGGTTTACAAATAGAACCAAGTCAAATGGCCACCTTTTTTCTCAACTATTACACTTAAGTTTTTACATTTGGGTGGTGAACACCACTGTAATCTTTTATTAGATCTGTCTCTTAATAACTTTGGAGACGACAGAAAAAAGTCTGCGACTGATTACCTTGCATTTTAAAGAACAGCACCACCCTTACAACAAGCAGGATTTTCCAGCACGATCAGCTTTTACAAGGGAGAAAGGGTCTGGAGACAGAGAAAGTTCTTTCAGAAATGTTGTATCTACCCTCACTAGACTGCACTTGGTGATTCTCCATGTATCCTGGGCTTCCTGGGAAGTACCTGCTCAGTACTGCAGCCAAACTGTTTTGGAATTGTTGGCTTGCCTGTCTCCTTCCTTGATAACAAGGGATTTCATTTCTAGATCTTTGTACCGTTAGCACTTAATGTTTTGTGTGCACAATTGGTCTATACATTTTTACTGAATGAATGGATGAACCTTTACCTTGAGTTAATGGAGATCACCATGTTGGACAATCCAATCTGACATCTAGTAGTCGATGTTAAATTCCCTCATCACATTCAACTAATTCACAAGCCCTATACATTGTTACTTTTCAATGATCTTTTATTTTAGGGGAAGAAAAAGATTCAATTATTTCAAAGACAGAGTTAGAGATAGAGCACACACACACACACACACACACACACACACACACACACACACACACACACACACAGAAAATCTTCCATTTGCTGGTTTACTCCCCAAATGACCACAATGGTCAGGCCTGGGTCAGGCTAAAAGCCAGGAGTTTTCTCTGGGTTTCCCACGTAGGTTCAGGGACCCAAAATTTGGCCCATCCTCTACTGTTTTCCCAGGTGCGTTAGCAGGGAGTCAGATCAGAAATAGAGCAACTAGGACATGAAAGAGAACCCATTTGGGATGCTGGCGCCTGCAAACAATGGTTTAGCTTGATACATCACAGCACTGGTTCCTTCAAATAGCTCTTGAGATCTTATCCCGGCCCTCATCATCTCTTGCCTCATAACTGATACTCCCCTTCCTTTGCTCTTGGTGCCAATTCATTCTCTACAATACCAGTCAGAGTTAATGTTCTCTAAGAAGGATTGAATGATGTCATTCCTTTGCTTAAAATGCATCAATAATTCTTCAGTACACATGAAAGTATAAGCTTTTCAGCATTACACATAAAATAACATTAGCACAATATTAGGATCTAGGTATAATTTCTAGCCTCTATAAATTTAAGTCTTTCCCTCCAACATACCTCTCAGATCTTTATCTAATGCCACTTATACCAATTGCCAACCACATGATGTTTGACGTAGATCTGACTGTTCTGTGAATATGTGTGCTGCTTCACACTTCTCTGTACATATCCAGAATCTTGTGTGGAAAGCATTACCAAGTCTGCTTTGAAAATTGTATCAATCATTTAAGACTCAGCCTATGTAGCTCTAGGAATTCCTGATGTTTTTCCCATTACTCACTTATTCCCAGATATCTCTACTGAATCTTGAATAACACTGCATCAGCCCTTTTCTGTTAAATGGCAAAAATGACAGAAAAGGTTATATTTCTATCTGTGTCCCTAAGGCCCAGGACATTGGGATAGAATGGACAAAAAATATGTTTTAAATGAATGAGTTCCACAACTTCGTCTCTTATGCAAGCTGCCCTCTACTCAATGCTCCAGTTTCCATCTCATTCAGCCACTCCCTACCACTGTTACTGATACCTGAGAAGACATTTTGGTCCCTGTCACTGTCCTATTCCCTCCCTCTATCATCTGTGGTCCAAAAGGGCTATGAACAAGCTCAACACTAGAACTGCCATGGTATATAATAAGTAAGCTACTGGGCCCACTGAGCAGTGCTTCTGATTGAACTTGGCAATATTCAGTCTACATAATTGGTGCTAACACAACTTTGGCACGACAAAGTTCTGGAGAAATGGCCTTAATCTCAAACAGAATAGGCCTGTTGGTCCTTCAGCAAAAAGAAAATGAGAGTGAGGTGAGCTTCCATGGATTATAATTTTTAGAATAAGAACAGGCTATAGTTTCAAATCGGCTTTTTGATCTTAATATTTGTTATCTACAATGATCAACCCACTTATTTCAAGGCTCAGAGATCATCATACAGCTGCACACACACACACACACTTTAAATGGCTACTATCAACTGAAATATCTATAATCAAAAGTGCCCAGGTAGAGATTCAATAATATTTTCTTCACTAGAGGCTTTATCCCAATATATACCTGAATTGTTTTAATGACTGTTTCAATCTGTCCAAAAAAGTGGGTAGCAACCAGCTCTGCAGCTTTACAGGGCTTCAGGGACACAAGTTCCTGGAGTCAAAGGAAAAGACAAAGTCATCGTTACATTTACATCATAGTTTTATACAGAAAATCCACAGATGTAACATGATTAACTGCCTAAATATTGACACACGCTTACTTCATTTCAAGAGACTTCCATGCAGGGCTTTAATTTAAAGGGCATGTCATAAATGAACAAAATAAGATACATGCCATGTGAAAAAACAGAAATTGACCTTATTGAAAAAAAGGTAACTCAGAATTCCCAGAAAACAAAAGCACTCACACTCTGGATTCTGGGCATGAACAGAAGAAAAAAAAAAGCTTTCTGAATTTTCTGTCAGTAATTTTCAATCTTGAGCTTAATGTTAGTTTTTCATTACTATGAAATACACAATTGTATTTTCTTGCTTTTCTCTCTTTCTTTTTGAAGATCTAAAAAGCTACTTTCAAAGCAAATGGAACAGTGAATTCTCATTTTAGGCTATCAATATTCTGTTCTCTTTCAGCCAAGATTTATGGAATAAAATGGTTTACTGAACAAATAAGAAATTTAATAGATAAAAAAGTAATAAAAAACGAGAAAGGGTATAGTTAAAATTTCTTTGGCTAAAGATTTTGAAACTTCTAATGCTTGGTGAATTTTGAAACTAAATATGTCTTAAAAAATTAACTTGAGGTTCTAACTCACAGATGAAACTAAAAAGTCACCATTGTTAATTAAAAATTAGTAAGACCTATTTCTGTCAAATCTGAAGACTTCCAATCTGCCCTCTTCTTGAACTTTCCTTAATAACAATGACTATGCTTGAAACTTTTCTTACTTGGTTTCTGTCATCTAACTTACATCTTTCCAACCGCACTTCCTCTAAGGGCAAGACTCCTGATACAAGGCAAAAATGCAGAGACGAAATGTAGACCAACATGGTACATCATGGTACGTCATCAAATAAAATGTAAAGTTATTATGATTACAATATTCATTATGTGTCTAATAATGATTATAGTAAGTAGCATTTTTATAGTAAGAAATCAGTCACTCCTCAATGTCTGTGGAAGATTGGTTCTAGAAACCTCAGTGGATATCAAAATCTTATATAAAAGGGCACAATCTCCTATATACTTTTAACCATCTCTAGATTACTAACACTAGCTAATGCAATGTAAAACTATGTAAATAGTTGTTAACAATAATAATGTCAAGTAAAAAATCTGATCAGAAGTCTGCACATATTCAGTAAAGATGTAATATTTTACCCAAACCTATGGGCATGGAACCCACAGATGCAGAGGCCAAGAGATTATCAATGAATTTATCATAAGAACTTGTTAAATTGATTTTTGATCACTGAAGAAATTGACCAATTGACTAAAAATATTTTGTATGAAAACTTCCAGGATCAAATCGTTTTACTAGTAAGGCCTGGGAACAACTTAAGAAAAATAATTCTGGGGCTAGTGTGTAAAGATATATCCTGCACCATTTCCATCCTATACAAGCACAGGTTAGAGTCCCAGCTGCTTCACTTCCAATCCAGCTCCCTGCTATTGTGTCTGGAAAAATCACAGATGATCAAGGACTCTGAATTCCTGCATCCATGTGGGAGACCCAGAGGAAAATCCTACTTCCTGGTTTTGGTCTGACCCGTCCCTGGCCATTGTGGCCATGAACTAATGGATGGATATAGAACCAATCAGCAAATCAATCACTTTGTGCCTTTCAAACAGATAAAAATACATCTTCAGCAAAAAATGGAATTCCAATGTTAATCTCTTACAGAGGACAGTAAAGAAAAGGAACTCTTAGCTCACATTTTAACATCTACATTCAATGACACAATATAAGAAACAAAGTTACAAATGGATTTTAATCACAAATATTGAAACAAATGCCCTGAGTCACACACACACACACACACACACACACATATATATATATATGTGTGTGTCAAAATCAACTGGATTTATTTATGCTATTCAAGGTTGGTTCCAAATTTAAAAATTTACCACAAAACTAAGAAAAGGTGATAAATTTCAAAATCCATTCATAAAAAAACTCAACATACTAAAAATAGAAGAAAATTTCTATAAAAGTTCTCGTGGTAAACTTTATGCCTATCTAGAAACTGAAATTTTTACAAAATACTACTAATCATAGTGCTAAAATATAAAATTATGGCACTAAACGTAACAAAGAGTAGAAAGAAAAGAAAATCTACAAAGAAAATCATCATTTTACAGAAAAATGTTGAAAAAAGCAAATACCATATAGTTACTGATCGGAAAACTCAATATTGTAGATTGTAAACTACCTTCAAAGTAACAGATTAGATACACAGTCTGTCAAGAATTCTAAAATTAAAAATCATGTTGGTAGAACTTGAGAAGCTGATTTTACAATTGGAACAATAAAAAGTAACACAAGGGTAAGATTGTTAAAGATAGCAAGATGGATAACTGTGCTATTAGACACAGCGGTACTGATGCAGACAGATGAATGTGCCAGTAAAACAGGAAAAGGCACTAAATAACGGGCTAAGCGCACAGCTCCTTCATATGCTTATGACAAAGGTAGCATCACTGGGTGATGCATAAAAGCAATCTTTTAAAATAACTGCTCCAGGGAAAACTGGACATTTGTACTTTAAAACTAACTATCTCAGATTTAAGGGGGAAAAAAAAGATTTCCTTAATAAAGGACATCTCTTTAAGACAGTAAGGAAAACATTAATGCAAGAACTTAAAAAAATGAAAACCTTTTTTTGTGAAGAACCATAAAAGGGGGTGGGAGGACTGAAGTCATGGTACTGTGGGAAAGTAAACAAGGACGGCCCAAAGCATGGGGATCCTGCACCTGCATGGGAGACCTGGCAGAGCTCCTGGCTCCTGGCTCCTGATTAGTACAGCTCCAGCCATCGGGGTCACTTGAGGAGTGAATCAGCAGACAGAAGATCTTCCTTTCTGTCTCTCCTCTCTATATATCTAACTTTGAAACAGAAATAAACAAATCTTTAAAAAGTTATTTTGAAATATAAAGAAAATTCAAAATGTACAGTTTTTTCTTAAAATGTTTAAAACAGGGCCCATTACAATAGCCCATGGCTCAAGTCCTCGCCTTGCACTCGTATGGTTCCATATAGGTGCTGGTTCTGATCCCCAGGTGCTCTGCTTCCCATCCAGCTCCCTGCTTGTGGCACGAGAAAGCAGCTGAGGATGGCCCAAAGCCTTGGAACCGACACCCTCCTGTGTGTGGGAGACCTGTAGAAGGCTCCTGGCTCCTGGCTTTGGATCAGCTCAGTTCTGGCTGCTGCAGCCATCTGGGGAGTTAATCAGTGGACAGAAAATCTTTCCTCTCTGTCTTTTCTTCTTCTCTCTGTAAATCTGACTTTCCAATAAAAATAGAAATAAATTTTAAAAAAATGTTTAAAGTAAGCGTTTTTAGGTCCAGAACAAGCAACAGAGTGTTTTCAGTATTCCAAGTTGCCCCCTATATCATTTTAGGTCCCCCGCCCTACTTCTTGTCTCTCTATCTGCCAACACACTCCTCCTCTGGGTTTTTGTGTTTCTTTCCCCTCTGTGAACTGGTATTGCATATGCATGTAATCCTAAATGTTGAGAACTTTGTGAAAATAAAACTATACTCTATTTTTCCTAATTCTTAGTATTTTGAAATGTTTGTACCTTTTGTTGTATATAGGTACAGTATATACTTCTTATGTAGTATTCCATTTTGTAACACAGTTGAGTTAGTCTGTTATTTGTGGATATTTTGATTGTTCCTACTTTTGACCATTAACCATGATCTATGATCATTCTAATACCAAGGCACTTTAAACAGCTCATGGAAAAGATAATTAAAAGATAGGTCTGTTCTGGTACAAAAAAAAGTATGTGAATCCACGCCTAGTTTCTTTCTGTGCGTTTTGAACTTTTTGAACATCTATTTGTGTGTATTTGGGCATCTGTAGAACAAAGTGTTCTCAGTGTGACCTGTGGACCAACACTGCACCATCAGCTGAAAACTGATGCAGAATAACAGAGGTGCAGGATTCAGACCCATTGTATCTGAAAGGCTATGGGTAGGACAAATGACTCTAATGGCTGCTAACTGATCCTCTCAGTTCCACAGGGTTGTTTTAATTTTTGTTTTTGTTTTTTTATAATGATTACATGGCTGATCAGGGAGAGAAAGAAGTTTAGGCAAAATTGGGTAAACTCATTGTTTCCAATTTTGCTATTTCCTCTTGATTCTGGGGGAAGGGGTGAGATAAAGGGGGAAACCACTCATGACTTTCTACACATACCAGTAACCAGGGATGAGGAACAGCCACCTCCTATCAGCCCAGAGTCTCAATGTGTACATATTACAAGGGTTCTGCCCAAGTGGTTTGGGTAGTTCTGGAATGTTGTCAAGTTCACTAGGTGCCAGCACTGTGTGTGACTTCTTCGCTCGGTAACTTTGCCAGACTTTAAAGCCCTGCCAAGCTGCTGGATGTTTGATGATATCTCATTATGCTTTCAATTTACATTTTCTTAATTACTGATGAGATGATAGCCTTTTGATGTTTATTGGCCATTTACATTTCTTTTTTTGTGGTGTGATTATTGAAGTCTTCCACCTACTTTCGTATTTGCCTCTCAGCCTTGTTTAATTGTATGATTGTTTTATGGACTTTAGTCTTGTTTCTTTCAGCAGGATAGGAGTAGGTTGCAAATATTTCTTCCATTTGGTGACTATTCCTTTTTATCTTATATGGTTCTTTTTTTTAAATCTTTTTTTTCTTCTTTTTTATTTTATTTTATTTTATCGGAAAGTCAGATATACAGAGAGGGGAGACAGAGAGGAAGATCTTCTGTCTGATGACTCACTCCCCAAAAGTACCTGCAATGGCCAGAGCTGTGCTGATCTGAAGCCAGCAGCCAGGAGCCTCTTCCAGGTCTCCCACATGGGTACAGCGTCCCAAAGCTTTGGGCCGTCCTCAACTGCCTTCCCAGGCCACAAGCAGGGAGCTGGATGGGAAGTGGAGCTGCCAGGATTAGAACCGGAGCCCATATGGGATCCTGGCGCATTCAAGGCGAGGGCTTTAGTCACTAGGCCACTATACCGGGCCCCAAAATAATTTTTTTTTAATTAAAAAAAAAAAGCCCTAAAGAAAGATGCTTTATTCATATTGAAAAAAAGCCACCTAAACCAGAGTCTGTACTTAGATTACACAGGCTCAATCCAAGACTGGCTTTTAGCTATCTGTGACCCCCTGAAATTCAAACAAAACTATGTATCTATGCTTGTGTGGTGTCAGAGTTATATATCAAATTATAAGAGGTCTAGAACTCTGAAAATGTTAAAGATCACTAAGATACAAGTTGTATATAATGTCAGTATCTTTATTATGGTAACCTTTCCTTGTATCCATTTACGTTGATTATATTTATGTTCCTGAAGACTCATTAAGTGGTGGTGTCAGGCGGCTGTCCTCCATCCCAGGGTGCAGAGGAATTTGAGAGGCTGGGTGTGGCTTCTCTGCTTGTGTCCCTGCTTCTCCCAGATACAGGAAGGACAAGAAAGACAATGTGGAAATGGTGATCTCACTCACCTTCCTGTAGCCTGGGACCATTACCACCCTAATCAAATATCATCAAAAATAAATATAACTAATATTAAAAAAATCCTTCCACAAAAACTTTATGTAAGTTTTAATTATGGCCTTAAGAGATGTTAAGAAGTTCAAGGTGAAAAAGTGTACAGATGTGGGAAAAGAGTCAGCAGAAATAACTGTTGTGTAGCAAAAATACTTCTTGCTTCTCTAGCATGAGCTTTCTGCTGAGCAATTTGTTTGCTCAGTGATTAATTCATCACATTTCACATTATGCAGAGAGGCAGGGCTTCATTTTTGTATGTCTGGAGTCCATGTGCTCAAACCACTGCATAATGCAGAGGAGGTTAAAATGAAGAATGAGCCATAATGTAACTAAGGAGACTTAAAGAGGATAATGAAAAAGAATATAAAGTGACTAAAGGAGAAAAAAAAATTCAAGCTTGAAGAAAGTCTTGTTGGTTTTTTCTTTTGCCTTTTTCTGCCCCCACCAGGATATTTTCATCTTGCTATTGGCAGGATAGGATAACATAAAATAATGTATACCAGGGCAGGCATTTGGCCTGTGAGTGAAGATGTCATTTCCCACACTGGAATAAATGGATTTGATTGTTATCTCTCACTCTGCTCCAGCTTCTTGCAAATGTCGACCCTGAGAAGTAGCAATCACGGCTCAAACAATTGGGTTCCTAGCACCCCCAGGACGCCTGGCTTGCATTTCTTGGATTTCTGCTTTGGTCTGGCCCAGTCCTGGCTGTTGTGGGTATTTGGAGAGTAAACAAATGCAGGGAAGCTCTATCTTGGCCTGCCTCTCCAATAAATAAATTAATTAAGATGAAAAATGCATCCACAACATGTACCCTGTTCTCAATCTCATGGATGAAATGTGTAGAAATTCCCTAGGCCTCGTGGTCCATGCTTGACTCTCCTCACAGCAGGTGCTATTCGTAGGTTCTTGTCTCCCAAATGTGAGAGACTGAAATCCTAGGGAATATCAACTTAGCTAAGACGAGAGCTGAAATGAATGCAGGAGTCCCCCATTCAAATGGGCAGCTTAAAGAATTTTACTGAATTAGTACCTCAATGTGATCCATTGCTTTCTGCCACACAGACTGCTTCTCCTCTGCACTGTGTCCAGGAATGGATAAGATATTGTGGATGTAATTAAAGACTTCCTCCTGAAAAGCAGAGACAATATATTTAGATAGTTCAGTTACTCAGGCAATATTTTAGTCATTATCTATTATATGTGTAACTCTTGGAAAATACCTATTATTTAGAGATGGAAAATCATCTGGAGATGGTTAACTGACGCTGAAGAGAATAACTGTTCAGGGTAGAATCGTAAATGTTACAAACTTGTACCAATTAATTTTGGTCTTAAAGAATTGATCTTCAATGATACTGTAAAGCATTATCCTACTTTTTTTCTTTTTAAAAAAGATTTATTTATTTTTATTGGATAGGCAGATTTATAGAGAGAAGAGAAAGCTCTTCCATTTAGTTGTTCATTCCCATCTGGCCACAACGGTTGGAGCTGAGTCAATCTGAAGCCAGGAGCTAGGAGCTTCTTCCAGGTCTCCCACAGGGGTACAGGATCCCAAGGCTTTGGGTCATCCTCTACTGCTTTCATAGGTCATAAATAGGGAGCTGGATGGAAAGTGGAGCAGCTGGGACATGACCTGGTAGGGACCCTAATGGTATGTTGGCACTGACAAATGGAGGTTTATCCAATTGAGCCATGCTGCTGGCCCCAATACTTCTGCTCTTGGTAGTTCCAAATCTCCAGTTTCATCTCAACCACTGTTTTCCCTGTCTTTCACACTCCACCTAATAGCTCATTCCTTCATCTGTAAGTTCTCTACTCAGTCCCTTGAACCTTTCAATTTCCGCCTAACTCAAGGGTTTTGGCATATGCTGTGTTCCTATTCTGGCACACTCCTCCATTGACTCTCTTGCCTGGCCTGCTTCTCAAATCCCAAAACTCAGTTTATGTGCCTCTTTCTCTGAGATCCCTTCTCAGGCTGTTCTGTACTTGTGAGTTCTCCACAATCCTCTGAAGTTGTACCTGGTTTCTCCCCCAAGTACATATCATAATTTAACATCATATGTCGCACTTCTTTTTTACAGTCAATTTTCATCATTGAGTCCTGAGTTTCCAAACTGCAAGGAACTACACCTGTTTTAATTAACCACATACGCTTGTTTCATAGCAGACATTCAACAAACACCTGCTTCATAAATGAAGAAAACCTTAGATCAGCAAACACATGTCCAGATGTTTCTATTCCACAAAAACGGGTAGAAACAATGACAAAGCACAGTCTTAACTCACCTCTCTCAGTGGGTCATGTAAGTAGCAGTCAATAATTTTGTCATACTGATGTTCGCGTTCATACATAAATTCACAAATTTGGTAGCTAGAAAGCAAAAGGAAAACCTTTACTGTACCCAAGGGACAGGCAGTTACTAGCTTATGGCTTTGAGCTTGTACAAGCATGCATACTGGCTAGTATTAAGAAAAATGGATATCCTAGATGTGATTTCTACTGTTAACTTATATTTAGTGTCCAAGGGAGAGGAACATCTGCCATTCCTCCAATTGCAGGTTTCAGATGCTACCGAATATTCTTGATGATAGAAATTTCAAGCTGGGCACAAAGGAAACATTAAAGCAACAATCTGTCACAGAAGAAATAATAGATTCGACATGAATAATTTGCAAATGTTTTCTGAAGTTTTTCCGTTCAGAACCAAACATGTTAAACAAAGCATCTGACAAGTAAATAGCAGTGTTAGCATACTGATTTGTAATTTAAAAAATCCTGTGCTGCTTCTAATGTACATAACTATCAAACATCTATCAAAAACTATAGAAATACCAAGTAAAAACATAAAAATAATAAAACTTCAATTTCACTCTTAAAACAAATGTACACACATTTCAGATTTGCCTCCCAAATTCTGCCAAGTGTACTGAATTCAGGAATTCAGCCAAAGGCAAAAACTTTCCCACTTAGCTTTTTGTTGCTGTTGTTGTTTGTATATCCTTTCTTAATTAAAGAACCAGTCATGCAGCAATAAACTGGAATTCAAATTAGAGAAATGTAATTTAGTAGTTCCATAAAAAACTAATATATGGCTTTAAAGCAACTTACAACTCAGCTTTTTCTGCCATGCGGATGAGGCGACTCTCTTCAAATTGAACTATGCCCCCAGCCTGCAGCAATTCCAAAAGGACCTAAACATACAGATTAAATGAGTGGAAACACTTGGAAATTTATTTTTATTTCCTAGCTTTTAAAGATTTTACTCACCCATACAGATCCCATTTTTCTTTTATGCTCTTACATGTCGAAATCTTGGCTTACTTTTATATATGAATGCTTAGATTGCAATTATGTTGATTGTATTTTATTTAAGCTGTATAGAAATCATTCTCGCTTTTGCTCTGTTTCTCTAGCATAGAAGGAGTGCCACAGTATCTGCAATTAAAGTCTTCCAAAATACTGAACTGACCCTCTGTCAGGATAAAAACGTCTGTACAGATCCTTTCAAGAAGTGTGTTTTATCTGGCTTATGCTTATTATTCTTTAAAATCTGTTGTCCACAGGTAGTATCCATGCTCATATGTTAATTTAAAAAAACTGAACATTGTGGATTTTTTACTGTAGCTCTACTCAAAAGTCAAAAGATGGAAACACTCTAAACACTGATCAACAGATAAAAAACCAGGATCTATACACACAAAAGAAAAAAATCAGCTTAAAACACACACACACACACACACACACACACACACACACACACGAAATTGGGGCTGGCGCCATGGCTCAAATGGCTAATCCTCCACCTATAAGCACTGACAGCACATATGGGTGCTGGTTGTGGTTGAGCTGCTCTACTTCCCATCCAGCTCCCTGCTTAGGGTCTGAGAAAGCACAAAAGGATGGGCAGAGCCCTGGGATCCTGGGACCCACATGGGACTCTGGCTGTTGCAGCCACTTGGGGAGTGAATCAGAAGATGGAAGATTTTTCTATCTCCTCCTCTTTCTCTGTAAAATCTGCCTTTGAAAAAAAAAATAATAAAAATAAATCTTTAAAAAAAAAAGAAATAAATCTTTACAAAAAGATATGAAAATTATGACATTTGCTGTAACACAGGAACCTTAAAGATATTATGATTTTAAAAAAACACCCAAACATGAAGAAAAATATTGTATGGCTGCATGTATATGGAATACCCAGGGCTATCTGAGCTCATATATAAAGAGCTGACTGGTGGCTGCCAGAGATTGTAGAAGGGGAAAGTAAGTAGGGAACAATTGTGTAATGCATACAGTATTTCTGTTTAGGAAGATTAAAAAGTCCCAGAGATAGACAATGCAAATGGGTGCTCAGTGTCTGAATATACTTAATGCCACTGAACTGTATGTAAGTAAAAAATGCTTCAAACATTATATTTTATGTTATGTATATTTGTCATTATTAGAGCAGCTCAAATAACTAACTCTGACCACAGCAAGTAGCTGCATGCAAATGTGAGTAGGTTACTGTACTGGATTCCCCAATGTTTTTAAATGAGCTTCAAAAACACAAGAGTCATCAGAGCAACATGAGAATGCTTTCTGGTACTTAACTTCAGGATCTAAAGTACAATAATCCTCTTCAGGAGTCCAAGACATCATGTAACAAAATATTTTTCTAACACAGTAAATATGTCATTTGCAAGTTTTAAAAAGCAATGAGTTATATGTTTTAGAATATAAATGTAATCCACTGTGTGCACTAAAAAGTACTGTTAGAGGACAAATACAGAGTGAACCCCATCTGTTGAAAGTATCAGTTTGAAATAACATTATAGAAAAGCCACTGTTGGGAGTTGGTCTTTCCAACTCACTAGAGGTGAGTTAAATTTTCAGGAATTTTGTAAGTCACTTACTAAACACAGGTGTTACTAAAAACTAAAATATACACATTTACAATTATATAAATTAAATTAGAAACATGGGTATAATCTTAAAAATTACTATTTTGTAATTGTTTTATCACCATATATGTCCCTCAAGGTTATTTATTTACTTCTGTTGTAACTGTATCTTTATAACAGAAATTTTACATTATATATTACAGTCTCTCTCTCTCTTCCTGACCCCACGTTCAGTGACATCACACTGACAGATTAAAGTAGTTACAGTGGAAGAATTTACAGCATGGAAATTGGAAATTAATGTTAATCACTTTAAATGCTTCCCAATGTTATGTTTTTAATTTTTATTTTCAAAAGTCAGATATACAGGGAGAGCAGAGACAGAGAGGAAAGTCTTCTGTCCAATGGTTCACTCCCCAAGTAGCCACAACGGCTGGAGCTGAGCCAATCCAAAGCCAGGAGCCAGGAGCCTCCTCCAGGTCTCCCACGCAGGTGCAGGGTCCCAATGCTTTGGGCCGTCCTCAACTGCTTTCCCGGGCCACAAGCAGGGAGTTGGATGGGAAGTAGGCCACCAGGACACCAACCAACACGCATACGGGATGCTGGTGCATTCAAGGCGAGGACTTTAGCTGCTAGGCTACCATGCCGGGCCCAAACATTACTTTTGTAAAGGGTTGTTACATTTTAAATGGGTGGGCATTTGGCCTTGCAATTAAGGTCTAAGTTAAGGGGCTCACATCCTCTATCAGCGAGTCTTTGGCAGTGTCCTGGTACCTGATTCCAGCTTCCTGCTAAGAAGCACCCTAAGGTTGCAGACAGCTCAGTGTTGGATGCCAGCAACCCACAAGGGAAATTAGGGACTGAGTCTCTAGTTCTTGGCCCAGTTTCAGCTGGTGACATCTGGGGACTAAAACAATGGACAGCTTATCTGTCTCTGCTGCTTTCTCACTTTCTCTCCCTCTGCCTCTCAAGTAAAATGATTGTAAAACAAACACAAAAATATAAGAAACACAAAAATATACTGCTCACAAAACCCAAAATATTTAGTCTTTGTTTCTTTACAAAGTTTTGCAAACTCTGTGTTAATAAAGTGACAGAAAAAAAATTCATGGGAAAATTAAACGGACAAGTGTGCACGTGTGGGCCAGGCCTTGGGCACAGCACTTAAGTTGCTGCTTGAGGCCCCCACATCCCATGCTGGAGTGCCTGGTTTGAGTGCTGGCTCTCCGCTTCTTATCAGACTCCCTGCCAATCTGCACTGTAGAAGACAGCAGATAATGGCTCAAGTGTGTTGGGTCCTGGCTACCTAAATGTGAGACCAGGATTAACTTTCAGGCTCCCAGCTTTGGCCTGGCCCAAGTCTGACCATGGCAGCCAATCAGGAAGTGAACTTGCAGATGGAAGATCTCTCTTTGTCTCTCATTTTCTGTCACTCTGCCTTTCAAATACATTTTAAAAATCTTAAACATGCAAGTTTATAGTCATTAAATTGTGAATACAACAAAAATTTGAGGATATTTTCTAGCATTTAAAAACTGTTAACAGATTCAGTGAAAAACTCATTTCACTGATAAAAAGTTTTGACATGTCTCATCGTTGTGTTTTTATCACCTTCACTTTCATAAAGAGAAATATCAACCAACATTCATATCGGAGCTATAATTAACACAGTGGATGCATGCAAAGAAACATAATGTAGTATCTCACAAATATGTATAATTTTCACACTTAGAAAATTTAAGATCTATTCATTAATTTAAAAATCAGACTTAGATAAAGAGACAAAGAGACAGAGAGAGTCCCTGCTGGTTCACTCCCCACATGGCCACAACAGGCAGGCTGAAGCCAGGACTCAGGATCTTCATCCAGGTCTCCCATGTGGGCACAAGGGCCCAAGCACCTGGGCCATCTTCGGCTATTTTCCCAGGCACATTTGCTGGGAGCTGGATCAGAAGTGGAGCAGCCAGGATTAGATCTGCTGGCACTGCAGGCTGTGGCATGATGTGTTATGCCACAATGCTGATTCTAACACCAACATTTTCTAATGAAAAATATTAATTTTTTGAAGCAACTTGTGAAACATTCGTGAGCATGTCACTCAAAAAGATGAAAACAATACTGTAGAAGCAAATGTTAAACACCAACAAATGGTATAAGGAAGAATTTTAGATAGGGGAAAAATTGGGTGCTAATCTCAACTGTGACTCTGAGGAATTTACTTATATGCTTCTGTAGTTTTAAGGTGAGAGTGTGGCCATTTTGCCTAATGGTTAAGACACTGTTTGGGACACTGACTTTCCATGGTGATATGCCTGGGCTCTGAGCTTGAGTTCCTCCCATTCCATTTCTTCTTAATGTGCACCTTGGAATGTAGTTGGGTCCCAGCCAACTATATGGAACACTGCCTTGAGATCCTGGCTCCTGGCTTCAGCCTAATTCAATGGTGGCTGTTGTGGAAATTTGGCAAGATCTGTTTCTCTCCCTCTTTCTGTCTCTCAAGTTTGAGCAAAATTAATCAAACAGTAAAATAAGGAGGAAAATCTAGATAAAAGCAAATGGGATACATTACTCTTTAAATTCAGTATAATTTAAGAGATACACAAATCTCCGCCACTGTTGTTTTTCTCCAGTGTCCACAGCAGTCACTGGGCTGCAGTGGTCAGAGAACGGGCTCAATACTGCTGTTCCATTGTCTCTTCCTGAGTTTCCATTTTCCAGCTGTGCATTATCCCCACCAAAATAAATGAATAAGTAAGTAAAAATCAGCACAGTTCAAACTACTTAATTCTTGCAGTTTCCTTATCTGACAAAAGTTTGGCTATCAGTTGTAAATGAGCGGGCTCTCTTAGTGGTCATAACTACTGTGGGTAAGCTTTCAAAGAATTCTACTCCTTAGGAAGTGACAGGGAAACAGTAACTGTGTCCCATTGATTAGTGGAGACACAGACATCCATAACCCTGTTGTAGCGGGACTTGAGAGCACTTCTAAAAGTTGAACGTGCCAATACGCAGCACCCTGGAACCTTCCTAACTCAGGGCCGTGGCATCTAGTAGCGGGTACCAGAGCTAAAGGCTCTCCTAGGCTGCAGTGCTAGCTGTTGCTACTTGATGGGTGAAGTAGTGTTTTTTGATGCTATGTTTGATGAAAGATGAATCCAGTTAGCCAAAGAATATAGTTTGAAAAAAAAGCTTCTTTCAAGGGTACCTCTCACAACTATTCATGCTGTTTTCTGTGTGCTGCAGCCTTCAGCTCAACACTAGCGACTGGCATGAGTCATTCTCTCCTTATGTCTACTGTGGCCCAGCATAGCACAGGAGATATTTTTTTTGTCCTACTCTGACTTCTTTCTGCCAAGAGTTCGAGGGGTTTATACCTGCTGTCTTTCAGAGTGTCGAGAGTCATCATCAGGACTACAGAGGAATTCAAGGACCTGGAAAGACAAAGTGTGTTTATTGGACACTGAGATGCATGCCCTAACACTGCACAGTGAAAATAACGCTCACAAAGCTTTCAGAATCACTGCTCGTTCACACGCAGCCATAACAGATCATAGGCGTACGGTATCTTCCCAACTGATGGGCCAAGTACACGAAACATCAAGCTCGGGGCCCAGCAGCGTGGCCTAGTGGGTAAAGTCCTTGCCCTGAGCATGCCAGGATCCCATATGGGCGCCGGTTCTAATCTCAGCAGCTCGCTTCCCATCCAGCTCCCTGCTTGTGGCCTGGGAAAGCAGTCAAGGGCAGCCCAAAGCCTTGGGACCCTACACATGCGTGGGAGACCCAGAGGAGGTTCCTGGCTCCTGGCTTCAGATCGGCACAGCACCAGCCATTGTGGTCACTCGGGGAGTGAATCAACACAGGGAAGATCTTCCTCTCTATCTCTCCTCCTCTCTGTATATCTAACTTTGCAATAAAAATAAGTAAATCTTTAAAAAAAAAAAGAAATATCAAGCTCAAGTGTGTCAACAGTAGTCATCTTAAACACTTCTTTAGTCTTAGAAACAAAAATAGAAGACAGTGTCATACACTAACTTTCAGTTCCCTGACACCATGGACCTAGCAAAGTACAGACTTTCATCTGTAGTGTAGCTGCTTGGATTTGAATCCTAACCTTACTAACACTTAGTAATAACATTCATTGCTAAAGAAAATAAAAGAATCTGTGCCTATATGAGTGACTTAACCTCCTCAGACTTCGGTTTCCTAATCTGCAAAATGGGAATAACTTCTACCTCACAGCTTGTTGGGAGGACTGCAGTAACACATGTACTGAAGGCTCTGAAGCAGCCTGAAGCGATGAAGTGCTCCTAAAGGTCAGACAGCATTAGCTACTTTTTTCATATTAAAAAAAAACAAAGTATTTCTTTTGCCACCTATGGAAGTGTAGGAGATATTTAACTGGGATCAGAAGACACATTCAGAATCAAAGCAACTGGTAAATAAAGTCATATTTCCCCACAGTAATCCCCACATGACTGTCAGCACGGTCTTTCTTACTAGTACAACCGGCGATGTACAAATGAAAAATTTTCGAGCAAAGAATCCTATGTAATTTAGAGGAACAGAATAACTGAGAGAGCAGAATTTTAATACACCAATCTCTACAAACCCTACTCCTCCGCAGTTACTAGGCAAAGTCATATGGACCAGAACACATTAATAAAACATAACGCACACACACACACACACACACACACACACACCCCTGAATAGGCCTCTCACTGGTAAGATGCTATCCCAAAGGTCTATTCTATTAACGAACAATGTAATCCAGTGAACTTTTCTGAGTAGCAAATGGAGGACACAAAATTCAAGTTTTTACTGTTAAAAAACTCACCTGATCAAAAAGTGTTCTGTTTACAAACAAGGTGTTGTCAGGCTTTGCAAGTTGACGCGCGAGAAATGTAAAGAGACATCCTACTTGAGATGGAGTAAAATCAGAATTTTCTACCATAACCTGAAGAGCAAAAGAGAACATTTACTGCATATAGCAGCTGGTTTGATGCAAAAACATATACAATTAGAAGGGGGAGCCTTATTACTGAAGATTCATAAAAAGATTCTTTCATTGTACGAAAATTAAGTTCAATACCATTTAGAGAAGGAGTTGTAACAATAAGTATACTCTGAAGGGGAAACATTTTTGTGTTTCTGACAAATTTCTAGTACAACTTGGATGAAAGATGAATTGTTAGAGAGGTGCAAGTAGGATTTCAAAGAAATATTAATCATGTTTCCCTCTGGAATTCTTAGAGGATCCTACCAAAACCGAATTTAAATAGTTCTGGTAATAACCTGTACAATCAACAAAGGAAGGAAACAGCTGCTTTGTGGTTTGAGAGATTGCGCCACCGCGCCGGGCCCTATGAGTGCAGGTAATCCACAAAAAGACAGCTTTTATGTGCACAAATTAAATGTTTTTGGTCGTGACTACAAGTGGTTCCATGAAAAGATGGTTCTGTGTAACAGGTGTTTTACAATTACAGCTATCAAATCCCAGTCATTCACCTGCTTTAATGTGTTGAGCTCCTAGGTACCCAGCATGTGCAAGAGGCTTTGGTAAATGTTGGTAAGGGAATTATGAACTAGAAATGAAGGTAAGGCAGGTAAATTAAATCTTAAATAAAAGGCAAGATAGGATCAGTACTATCTTAAATGCAAGGTGATTATAGAAGCACAACAGAGAAAATCTCATTCACTAAAAGAAATGAGAAAAGCAAATTTTAAGCTAAGCTTTAAGACCCAAGCCAAACCTTTACAAGGGAAAATGAAACCAGAGCAGGTAAATCAGGTGCACTTACAATAGCATGGAAAATAAATAAATAGGAGTTGGTGAAGGGAACTGTAGGTTCCACCAGAATGCAGCAGAATGAACCGGAAGGGAAAATTAGATTGAAAAGGAAGATTATGCCTTAGCTGTCATCCTAAGCCCTAAGGAATCTGAATTTTATTTTCTAGGAAACTGGAGAGCTGCTAAAGGCCATCAATAGAACAGCTGGTCAGGATCAATATTGTGCTTAGAAAAATGATCACGCAAGTCATATAAAGTGACAGAAGGAAGGCACAGAAGGCAAGGAAACAAAAACGCAAATGATCACAGTGGTCCCAGGAAGAGACACAAAGGAGTTCTGCACCGGGGCAAATGACAACGAAAACGAACGGGGAAACAGTAAAAGGTATCAGTAAGAGGAGGCAGGACAAGTATTCCCACTGTGGAAACATGTGGGCAACGGAGCAATCAACAATGTTATATAAATTTTGAGCCTGACTTTTGGCAGGTGGAATACTGGCATGATTAACTAAAGAGAGAACATGGAAGATGAGAGAGAAATACTATGCATTGTATGGACTTGCTGAATTCACAGGGGTAAAACTTCAACAAATTAGAGGGCAAGATCCTGATAAGTCTAATACAGAATCCATGTCTCAACCTTTTATCCTCCATTGAAAGATAAAATATTTCTCCTAGTATAAAACTTCCTTTAAAGCCTAACCTTTGACCTACTCTCTTACTCTGCTAGCAGAATATTTTCTTTTGTCTTTACTGCATTTAGTCCAGCAATCACGATTCGTTCAAGAGCCTAACCATTCAAAGAGCACAGGGACAGTTCAAGTTAAATACTTCCTTTTTCTTTCCCACCCTTCTATCCTCCATCACTATACACTCATAAATTCCGCTTCATAACTTTCCAAGAGATTTCCACCACAGCTTTAAATACAACATGTTCTCTCTTTTTCAGGTGAGTCACTTTTTTAGTTACTCAGAGTGCTTCTCTGAACTTTAACCTTTATTTTTGCTAAATGTAAACATCTAAATCTGTCTGACCTTGAGTATATCTTTTTAAAAAGTTAAAAAAATTTTTAACATTTATTTATTTGAATTGGAAAGGCAGATTTGCAAAGAAGGAGAGACAGACAGAAAGACCTTCAATCTGCTAATTCACTCCCTAAGCGGCTGCAAGGGCCAGAGCTGAGCTGATCTTTTTCCGGGACTCCTACACAGTTACAGGGTCCCGAGGCTTTGGGCCGTCCTTGACTGCTTTCCCGGCCACATGCAAGGAGCTGGATGGGAAGTAGAGCATCTGGGACAATACCATTTGGGATCCTGGCACATGCCAGGCAAGGATTTACCCACTAGGTTATCGCACTGGACCTGAAAACACAGTTTTAATATTCACAGCCAACTTCCCTGCTACCTGGTGAGTGGTTAACTGGTTATCCTCTTATAAACTGTCCATTTCCTCTTTCAGACCTCTGTCATAAAACATGTTTACAAAATTTTCCGAGTAATCTTGTAACAAGTGCCAGAATAACATAATTTTCTCTAGCTCTGCAGGCATTCAGCTGCATGTAACAATGCCCATGTGCCTGTTCCATGCTCACTGCCTATCCGTGTTCACTGCCTCTAAAATAACTTTAAATTAGCACAACCATCAAAAACAAGAAAAATAATCCCAAAAGCTTCTTAGTGGACTCAAGGTAAATACAATTAAGATAATATACAGGAGTAACAACTCGCCAACACTAACAGGAAAGTACTTCATGAATTGTCATTTTGCTCATCTGGATCACTCTTCCAAGCTAGCATAGTTATAAATTCAAGTTCAAATTTAATCAGCCTACAAACATTTCTCAAATATATATTAGGTTCCAGGCATTGCACTGAACATGTGGGTATGCGAAAACAATGATTTAAAAATAATAATAATAATCTACTTTCAGAAAATTCGAGTTCAGTCAAGAAAATGTGCAAAAGGATTGTGATCCTGTGTGCTAAATTTAGCATAATGTTTTCTGAATATGAATAAAGGCCATCTAATTAACCTTGGAGTGTGGGGGAGGGCTCAGAAAGTTTCTCATGATATTTGAGTTAAATATTGAAAGATTCTTAGGAATCTGTCAAGGCAAAAACAAAACAAGTCTGATGGCTAAAGGAAGACCCATGCAGAGAACCTAAACCATGAAGCTGGTGCAGAAAGAGGAATGAATTTCAGTAACTGAGGAGTACATGCTATCAGTTTGGGTAGGTGAAAAGGAGCTTGGGAAGAGGGGAGCAACTCAAAGAAAAGCCAGGGACCAGAAAATACAAAAGCACCCTGAGCATCATGTGAAATGGTTGCGACGGGAGTAGCAAAAATGATTGTTTATGCTCCAACATCTATCCATCGTCTTAACTTAGGAACAGGCCTCCTTAGCTACACACATGATTACCCAGAGTACATACTATACCTCTCAGGCTTTCAAGCAACAAACGTGGGAAATAGGGTATATACAAGAATTTTAGTATGCAAAAACAGGGAAATCTTTGCTTCTCTCTCTTCCTACAGCCAGGCTGCACAGAATGCAGAGGTGATATATGGAACCTGAGCAGTCTTTAGGTCAAAAGATGGGAATTACACAATGGAACGGTAGCACAGAGGGAAGCTGCATCACTGTGAAGTTTGCCAAGGCACTACCAGATCAGGTGCCCTCTCTCCAAACTCAAGGCAAAACAAACTGCCAACACAGTCATACTACTGTACTTCTGCATTTTCTCTCATTCACAGAACACAATTCCAATGGATCTAATACAGAGCCATAGAATATAAGCTAGAGGAGAAATAAAATTACTAGTGAAAGGAGGATAAGATTATGAATGCAGTGATATCTTAGGGAGGAGGTATTTTGGAAATCTAAGCCAAAGTTCTGCACACTCACCACCTGGGTCAAAACTGGCTTTATCTGAGAATTTTACAATCTTGCTATCATATTCCTTATTGCCTATCTTCCTGTTAACAACAGCTAAAACAAAATAAAACGTATGTAAAGGTGCTATAAAAATTACAAAAAAATTACAAATGTGATAGAGTGACATCAGGTACAACTAGAGGGCATTTTAATTCTGATATCTTGTCCAAAATAGCCTAAAAGTCATTAAAAAGAAGTAACCTCCATCTAAAAGCCAGATACAGTGTGAAACCTATATACTTTCAAATACAAGACAAAATTGGCCTGCTTGAAGCTGTGCAGGTGGGAGGGGAAAGTCTCTCTTGGCATACATTCATTACCAACAGCTTGAACCTCAAAATAGGTTTACACTGAGCCTAGTGTGATTCAGATTAGGATGGTTTTCACGGTGTGTCACTTGTCTGAGGGGCCATGGTGAAAGATGGCACTGCCTTGGCAACAAGTTGGTGTTGGCATGAGACCTAAGATTCTTCGGATGAGTTATTTTCTCAAGGCACCATAAAGTTAATCTGTTGAAACACATAATCTTATTAACATAGTAATTTTCACAAAATGCATTTCACAAGAGTAATCTCCTATATTCCAATCTTTAGTCTAAAGCAGATATATTCTTTTTGAATGAATGGCTAGTATCGAATTTAGATCTTGAGAACAAAAATATAATACTAAAATTTTAAGGTACAACTTCAACATAACACTTTACAAGATTATATTAAGATCTGCTATAAGACAATTGTGTTAATATAAAAATCATTACAATGATATGTATTCTTTGAATTCTTACTTTCAACAAAATATCCACAATTCGTTGTTGATATTCCACAGCTTGCTTGTCATTTTTAAAATCTTCAAAAGTCTAAAAAGGGAGAAAGAAAATGTTATTCTCTGCAAATTTAAGAAGAAAACAAGCTATTAATTTCTTATGAATAAAATCCAATTCCCAATTAACTGATTTCCTCACCAGTTTTTAAACACCAAGATGTTTTTAGTAAGTAGAGCACAAATGACTTAATATGGCAAAGTATTTGGAGACTTAAACATAAAAAGTATAAAAATATAGTGGTTATCACACAACCAAAAAAGTGATTTGGGAAAGAAGCAAAATCTATAGCAGGGGAAAGAGGAGGGACATGGAAGAGAGAAGAGAAACAATAGTAATGGCAACAGGCAGTGTGAGGGGCTGATGCTGTGACAGTGGGTCGAGCTGCCACTGACAGTGTCAGCACCGCATAGGAGGCAGGTTCCAAGTTGTCCCTCTCCCTTCTTTCTTTTTCTTTCTTTTCTTTTCTTTCTCCTTTCTTTTCTCTTTCTCCTTTCCTTCCTCTCTTCTTCTTCCTTTCTTCCTTCTTTTCTTCTCTCCCTCCCTCCCTCCCTTCCTTCCTTCTTTCTTTTCTCTCTCTTTCTTTCTTTATTTTTATTGCAAAGTCAGATATATAGAGAGGAAGGTCTCCTGTCCAATGATTCACTCCCCAAGTGACCGCAACAGCCAGTGCTGCACCAATCTGAAACCAGGAGCCAGGAACTTCCTCCAGGTTCTCTACTTTAGCCGCTAGGCCACTGCACTGGGCCATCTTGCTCGCTTATATTGGCCTAGGGAAGCAGAGGAAGATAGCTCAAGTTCTTGGAGTCCCACATTCATATGGTGAATTCAAAAGAAGCTCCTTCTTGGAAACAGACTGGTCCAGCTCTGAAATTATAGCCCTTTAGAGAATGACCCAGTGGATGGAAGATGTCTTTCCTTCTAATTTTACTTTTCTTTTTCTTTTTTAAAATTAAAAAAAAACTTTTATTGGAAAGGCAAGTTTACAGAGAAAAAAGGATAAACAGAGAAAAATATCTTCCATCCACTGGTTCACTTCACAACTGGCCGCAAAAGCCAGAGTCAAGGCAATCCAATCCCAGGAGCTTCTTCCAGATCTCCCACGTGGGTGCAGGTGTAGTTATTTTTCTGAAATAAGTAAACAAACTACATAAACAGATAAAACAGACAAAGAAATTTCACAGCCCTGAACTTTCAAATTGTGAGCTGTGTTCAAACAAGAATACCTATTGTTCTTTTCATTTTTTAAGGTTTATTATTTATTTGAGAGGCAGTGTCTCAGAGAGAGGGAAGAGAGAAAGAGACCTTTTTCCCACTGATTCACTCCCCAAATGGCTTCCACTGCTAGGACTGGGGCAGGCCAAAGCCAGGAACCAAGTGTTCCATCTAGGTCAGCCAGGACTCAAACACTTGGGCCACTATCTGGTTCTCCCAGCCATTAGGAAGAAGGTAGATTGGAAGCAGAGCAGATAGAGCTTGAATTGGCATTCTACTATGGGATGCCAGCCTCGCATATGGTAACTTAATCCATGACACCTAATGTTGACCGCATACTTGCTTAAGTGGGCACTGAATTGTCTCAATTTATTAAAGTATCTTTGCATATGCTGTTCTATTATTATCATGTCCTGCCCCTCCTTTCATGTCCAGCACACAGTAGGTGCTTAACAAATGACTACCTGATTATCAAATTATATTATTTGCAAAGAAAAAAAAATACTTAAAAATTTTTTAGCTAGTCTGCCCTAGTGCCAGCTGGTGAAGTGCTGAAATGAATCACCAATGAGACAGGTGGAATTCAATGTGGAAACAGAGGTAGAACTCTTTCTGTGAGGTACCCAAGCAGAAGCTATTCTGGAGTTCACACAGGTTAACTTTGAGCTGACTGCAGATACAAGGTGAAATAGAAGGTGTTTCAGTTTTATGCACTGATTTATGAGAACCAAAAACTCTCCCCGTACCCACCCTACCACAACATATCAACCCTAGCCTCTTCAAGTGTAATGTCACTCAGCAGGTACAAACACAAGGAACTCTCTGCTAAGACAAGTGTTATTCAATTAAAACACAAAGTCATGTACAAGTAACATATGTATTTTTAAAAAATTCTTACAGCAGTGATGCAAATAAAAAGGAATTCTCTTAACCACTTTCTTGTTGGCAGCATTTTGTCACTATTCTGAAACAGATACTGGAAGCTTATTCCTATAAACATAATTAAGTTGTGATATACTACAGAGTGAATATTATGATACAAGCCACAGCATATTTTGGTAATCATTAACAACTGTCACCAAAATGGCATTATCATTGCTAGAACATTATCAATCCACAAAGATATTTCCAATTATGTAATATCTGTTAGAGGAAATAATATGGACACAAGTTCTAATGGAGATTAAAATATACAACAGTTTAAGTCACTGCCTGTAAGGCCAATATCCCACATTGGAGCACCAGTTCGGGTCCCAGCTCTGTTTCTGCTCCAGCTCCCTGCTTATTAATAAGCCTGGGAAAGGAGCAGAAAATGGTCCAAGTACTTGGGCCCCTGTCACACATGTTCCTGAAAAATGTTCCTGGTTCTTGGCTCCTGGCTTTAGCCTGGCTAGTCTCAGCTGTTTTGACTATTCAGGGAGTGAACCAATGGATGGAAGATAACTTTGTCTGTTTCTTATCATTTTTTCAAATAAATAAATCTTACTTAAAAATTTTTTAAAAATCTTAGCAGAAATTTGATGGCATTAGGAGATGGGGCTTTGGGGAGGCGATTAGACCATGAGCAGGCAGCTCTTGGACCTCTTGCTTTCTAGCCACGAGCACATAGAGGAGGCATTCCTCTAGAAACAAATGAGCCATTCCTCAACAGACACAGGGCCTACCAGGGCTGGATGTTGGGCTGCAGCCTCCAGAGATAAACAAGTAACAGAGAAATAAAATTCTACTGCTTACCAGACATTTGGGTTGTGGTATTTGTGATAGCAGCTCAAATGCATTAAAAATTAAGCCTCAGAGGGAATCTTTCTTAAAGAATAAGTCATGATATTCCTCTCCCTAACAAGCGTCAGTGACTACATACTGTAGTAGTATATAAAGTTTAAATTTTTTACTACAGATTACAGGCCTCTAAGCCTATCTCTACAGATTTGTTTCTGTATTCTTCTTTATACTTAAACATACAGCCATACTGAATTTTTCTTTGATTACATTTCAAACACCATTTCAAATATTCTTTCCCTCTGCCTAAAATAATACCTCTACTCTCCTCCTAATTTATACTCATCTTCGAGACTTAGCATGGGACCATCGTGTCCAGGAAAGCTTCTTTAACCCTCTGACACACTCTAATCGTGTCCCTGATACATCTCACACTTCCCCTGAGGCCTGCATTACACTATGTTATCATTAGGCATCTACCAGTGCAGCTCCTCTTCATCCACAGGACAGGAGTATATACTTGCAGCCAAGGCTGCGCCCCCCCAGTGAGCACAGCAAGTGGGATATTCCAGGTACTCACAAGGCTGTGCCCCCCCAGTGAGCGCAGCAAGTGGGATATTCCAGGTACTCACAAGGCTGCGCCCCCCCAGTGAGCGCAGCAAGTGGGATATTCCAGGTACTCACAAGGCTGCGCCCCCCCCAGTGAGCACAGCAAGTGGGATATTCCAGGTACTCAAACATACTTGTCAAGAAATGAGGGACTGTTTTATGATCTTATTTGTAGTCCTGATATTATAATTTGGACATCAGATCATTCCAAATGTATTTCAGCACTACTATAGACCTTAACAAAAATGAAAATTTGATAATTTTTTTTTCATTTCCTCTGTTACTCTTCTTAAATTCCCAACCCTGATTTCCAATTCTAAGTATCTCTTCTCATTCATATACATTAATGGCTACTACTTCCGAGTCAGGTTTTCAAATTAAATCAAGGAATGATATAAAAATCCCCTCACAGATATTCAGTTTTTAAAAACAATTCAGTAGTTTATGATGCCACTCAATTTATAAGAGTAGTATAAGCTCATTGAGGCAATTTGCTCTATTTTACATGGTCAATATTAATAATTAGATGCATTTTGTGTCTTTTTCCATTAAACATTGTATACATGTGTACATTTTACATATTTGTGAGCCTGCAACTTTTACTAAACATTGTAACATAAACTTTTTCCATGTTATCAGAAGCTTTTATAAAATAAGACTAGTACTATCTAGCCAGGAAGATAGCTCACCCTTTATTCTAGAGGCATTTTCATAGAGGCATCCTTGCTCCATTCAGCTGGTTATTCCCACGGCCATCACCACTATAGTCCCTTCCAGTTCTGAGCTTCGTGTACTGTGTCAAGGAGTATAATTTATGATTTCAGAGATACACCATATCTAAGCCTGCTTTCTGATGTTGTGATAAGTGAATGAAAAACAGAGAGATGAGGTGTGGAAGGGGAGTGTAAAAAACTAAAGGTAAGAGTGACAGAGAACTTGGGCCCGGTGGCTGGCCTAGCGGCTTAAAGTCCTCGCCTTGAACGCGCCCGGGATCCCATATGGGCGCCGGTCCTAATCCCGGCAGCCCCACTTCCCATCCAGCTCCCTGCTTGTGGCCTGGGAAAGCAGTCAAGGATGGCCCAAAGCCTTGGGACCCTGCACCCATGTGGGAGACCTGGAAGAAGTTCCTGGCTCCTGGCTTCGGATCGGCATAGCATTGGCCGTTGTGGTCACTTGGAGAGTGAATCATTGGACGGAAAATCTTCCTCTCTGTCTCTCCTCCTCTCTGTATATCTGACTTTTCAATAAATAAATAAATCTTAAAAAAAGTGACAGAGAACTAAGCATTTGAAACCTTGACTTACTGAGGTGGCATAAAATATGTACCCAAATAAGAATTTTCAATTTTATTTCTATAAAAAAAAAAACTATTACCCTAGCTCATTTGGAAACATCATTAATCAATCTCTTACCAATGCCAATACATTAAGAAATTCTCTTGTGTCAAAATGTAGCAGAGTTCGGACATAGGGATAGATTTCTTCCTCAGGGGAAGCTTCTGCAGAGTGCAGGCGAATTAGAAATTCAAACACCTGCAAGTTGGAAAAGGGTTGGTTATTTTCTCACCTCACAAAGCACCCTGCTGAAGCAATGGTTCTCATTTGGATAGAACAAAGGCAGGTTGAGTTCAGTTCAAATTGCCCTTATGATACAAGTTCACCTTCTCTCAGCTAGTATTAACAACTTTAGTGATAGTGTGTAAGCTCTCTCCAAAGATGGGCAATAGCTTCTGACCCAGATGGGACCCTCATTTATCTTCAGTGCATTTTAACAAGAGGTACAGACAGTAAAACCACCATGAAAATAGTACCTACCTGGTTTTTCACCAAGGGAACAAGATCTTCAGGGATGTCACCCAATGGATAGGCACGACCTGCCAGACAACAACTAAAGAAACAAATGAGAACAGATCTGGTGACCTGTAAAGAGACAGCTTTTAAATATCACATTGTTTTCCAACCCTGAGAGTCTATTGAACAAATGGAGAACAGGTAAGATAAGGCCTCATAGCCTAACATCAACAAGAACCTAACAACACCATTAAACTATGACTTATCTGTCGAAATCCCAATGTTCTCAAGCTTTTAAACCATATGCACTGAAAATGGCAATTAAAAGTGGGAAATGAACAGCATTATCTAGAAAAACCAGGCTTGCAATAGGACAAGTCATTAGGTAGAATTAGGAAATTACCCTACAGTTTTACATGTAAACCAGGCCTTCTTTATGACTAATGACTTGACTCGTGAGCTGAATTATTACAAGCACTCTCTGATTACATCTTACTTTTTCCCTATCATTTGGGGCTGGGGAAAACTTTAAATGTCTTTAAGCCAGTCATCAATTCTCAATGTTAGACAGGTAGACACTAGCACATTCTAAAGAGTTCAAAGCGCAGATGATGAAGCACTAGGTGAATGCTGCATATGTTCTTCTACACTGAAGATTCAGTGGAACAAATGTGAAACAGGACCCAGTGTTAACTGACATCAGACGGGAGCTATAATGTTCTGGAAGGTTCTGCCATCTCCCTATCTTTCTGCTAACAAACTATTTATTTGGAAATTCTATCAAGATGCAGCACTGAACCACTACAGTCCCTAGAAATGAACTCTGCCCCAAGGAGTCAGAAGACAAATATCCCAATTTTGCTTCTTTCATTAATTTTTTTACAATTTAACCAACAGCTATCTCAGAGTTATGGGTAGTAATAACGCTCTATATCAGTGTTCAATAGCCTGAGCCCACTGATATTTTGAGTCAGATCATTGTTTTTCACAGCTTATTTATATTACATAGTTTATTTATTTATTTATTTATTTAATGTGAAAGGCACAGCACCAGAAAATGAGCCATTTGGTGGCTCCTTCCCTAAATGGTCACATAGCAGAGGCAAGTCTAGGCTGAAACCAGGTACAAAACTCCATTTCTGTGCTACTCCCTGACAAGGATGTCAAGAGGCCAAGTAACTGGGCCATCATGTTCTGCTTTCCCAGGCACATTAGCAGTGAGCTAGCAGAAAGCTGGATCAAAACAGAGCAGCCAGGACTTGAACTAGCACTCTGACATGAGACACTGGCATCACAAGCAGTAATTTCACCTGTTGTGATTCTTCACTGTGGGGACAACCTGTACACTGCAGAATGCTGAGGCAATACCCCTGGGCCTTGCCCATTAGAGATCAGTGCCATCTTTCCTATAGCTTCTTCTCAGTTGTGAAAAACAAAAATATCCATAGACAATGCGCAATCGTACATTGCTGAAAATCACTTCTTTACATAAGAGATTTGAAAAATGAAAAGCATTCTGTACATACAAAAGAATAATATTTCTAAGAGCACAAGGGGGAAAAATACAAAAAGAGCATACACATAAATCAGTTTTAAGAACTCTTACCTAATATATACGAGAAGCTTGTTGCCCATAACAACTTGCTCATCTAAAATAGAAAGAAAGGTATGTTCAAAAACATTCTCAAGATCTTTTCAGATATATAATCTCTATGTGGAAACAAAAACGAAAATTTGGCATTTAAGTAGAGATAAACGCATTCCCAAATACCATGAAACTGAGGTAAGAACACTTCATTATCCTTTAAATTTCCATTAAATTCCTTTCACAGATACACAATCAGTGTGAGATGTTCAAGAACACACATAGAGATGTAGTGGGAAATACCTTTGTATTGCCTGCTTGCCCACTATTCTGTGGCCAGGGAAAGATGTAAATCAACAACCTGACGAACTGTAGGTCATGACCAATTAATTACTATTGAGGCATAACCATTAAGTCTTCTCATTTGTAACATGAACTTTCACCACCTCTGGTGCTCTAAGGGCTCAGAAAGCTATTGTTCCTAAACAGTTAGAGTCCTCCCTATTATGTCAAAACCATACACTTTTCTTTGACTAGAAGAAATCAAAACAACAATCAGATCAAGATTTAAGTCAAGGATAGCATAAAATTATTAGGATCACTATGAAGGATAAAATGAGCAGGAATATTTATAGTGGGCAAATCATAGGAATTTGTGGTTGCTAATAATGAAATGCATCTTCAGTACATGAACAGTAAATGTAATGCAAGCAGATATACAACTTTGACCAGTAATCCCATTTAAATACTCTATTGCAAATGAACTTTAACTACCCAAAATTATATGAATAATTATATTTTGCTTCAACTACAAATGTTATTTAATCCAGCTTAGCTAGTATGACACATAGTAGCAATCACTCTTCAGGTATGAGGGATTAAGACTGTACAAAAAATGACTCTCCCTATCCCCTTATCTTTACAGAAAAAAGTCTGCAATTCCTGCACATAGCACAAAATATACCAAGTTACTGAAGAGTGAAAGAAAGCATATACAAATCTGGTGGCAGGTTCAGCCACCTGGGAGAAAGCCACACCTTTCTCTTCAGGACCTCCCTTGAATAACACTCCGAAGCAGGTGCCTGCTGGGGAAACAAGGGTGCAGCACATGCAAGGAAACTCTAACTATCTGTGCCCAGGGGACCAGAAAGGTGAAACTAGGAAGCATGACATGAATGTGGAGGAGGAATCTCACCAGGACATCCTCAAACCACCCACATATATGACTGATGCCTCAATCACTATGCAGGAAAAAAAAAAAACCTCTCAAAGCAGTTAGTCAAAGGCAAAAAAAAAAAAAAAAAAATCAGAAAGAAGAATGGAATTCCCTCCCTGAGGATACTGGAGGGGGGAGAGAAACTCCCTACCAGGCTTTGGTAGAGAGTTTACTCGCATGGAGACTGGGAACCAAGTAGCACAGGTAAAACACAGTCCTGGGCCCCGCAGCCTGGAACAAAGTGCAATCTGCTTGGTAAGCACGGTGGAGCTCAGGGTGGAGCTCAGGGTGCACGTGGAAAACACAGGGCTCTTTCTGGGCAAAGTTACTAAAGAGATGTGAGGAAGCATAAACAGTTAAGAGTGGCAAAATCGAGCAATGAAAAGAGCCAGAATGGGATTCCCAAACTGTGCCCTTCCTTTTCCTCATTGCTGCCTGATCCCAACATCACCCAAACGAATCAGAATCAAAGCAGAGCAGAAGAAGAAAAAAGACCTGAAGAGAGCAGACACAAGAGAAATGGAGTTTATAGTTCAAGCCTTGCCAAGAAAATTATCTAGTAGAACAGAAGACAAAAGCATGGATTGGAGAAAAATAACAGAATCCAGAATTCTCCGCAATGAAACATTGTATCCAGGATACAAAACAAAATTACTCAGCAATATGAGCAACTAAAAGGATAAGCCTCAATTCTTCTTACGAGAAACGAAAATCGATTACACCAAATCCTGACATGAACACAATATTAGAACAGATAAGAATTTTAAAGCAACTATTATGACAATACAGGTTTAACACACAAAAATTTCAACAAACAAATGAAAACCTGAAAACAAATGAAACAAATAATAAAAAACTAAGTGGAAAAGGTCAGATACCACATGTTTGCCTTAATTTAAGTTGAAATGCTGTCAATTTGTAAAAGGGTACCTGTGAAATGTAGTATTACATTGTTAATTAACCCCATAATGCTGGAAACTCTTGTTGATGTTATGTTATGGCATTTGATTGGTCGGAACGACAATCTGCCAGCTATGTCTCCAGACCACAGTTAGTCTCCACAAGAAACTGCAATAATGTTGTTATAAAATTAAATGCAATAAAAACAATAAATTTTAAAAAAGAACTAAGTGGGGGCCCGGCGCGGTGGCACAAGTGGTTAAGGTCCTCGCCTTGCACGCCCGGGATCCCATATGGGCGCCGGTTCTATCCTGCGGGCCCCCGCTTCCCTTCCAGCTCCCTGCCTGTGGCCCGGGAAAGCAGTTGAGGACAGCCCAGGGCTTTGGGACCCTGCACCCTTGTGGGAGACCTGGAAGAGGTTCCTGGCTCCTGGCTTTGGATTGGCACAGCATTGGCTGTTGTGCTCACTTAGGGAGTGAATCATCGGACAGAAGATCTTCCTCTCTGTCTCTCCTCTCTGTATATCCGCATTTCCAATAAAAAAATAATAAAGATAAATATTTTAAAAAAAAGAACTAAGTGGAAATCAGATTGAAAAATATAATTGTTGAATATAAAAATTCATTGAAAGAATTTATCAGCAAAATTAATACAAAAGGGGAAAAAGTAAGTGAATCTGGATATACAACAACAGAAGCTATTTAATATAAAAATGGAGAGAAAAAATGGTGAGTCAAAACTCAATATTTTAAAAACCAAAAAACAGGGCTGGAATGGTGGTGCAGGGACTTGAGTCACCGCCTTTAATACCAACACCCCAAGTGAGAGCACAGTTTGATTCCCGGCTGTCCTGTTCAGCCCCCTGCTCAAGTGTCTAGGAAGGCAATGGAACATGTCGCAAGTACTTCAGCACCTGTCAATCACATGGGAGATCTGGACAGACGTCCTGGTTCCTGGCTTCAGCCTGGCACAGCCCTCAACATTGTTGCCATCTGGAGAGTGAACCGAAAGATGGGAGATCTCTTTCTCTCCCTGTCTCTGCCTCATTATTATTTTGCCCTTCAAATAAATATTTTTTTAAATCATAAAGTTCAGTAATAAAAGAGGCATTATCAATATTAACCTTATAGAAATTAAAAGGATTATAAAAGATTCCTACAAACAAACATTGCAACAAGTTAAGGTAACATGAAATGGACAAATTCCAAAGAATTCACAAAAAATTAAAATATGCTAATACACAAAGAAGTAAATTTTCTGAATACATTATTTTAAAAACATACTTTATTTTTTAAAGGAAATGAATATTCTTGTTGTTAAGAAAAAGAGCACTCCTTTTTAAAAAAAATTATATATTTATTGGAAAGGCAGAGAGAAATACACAGAGAAATCTTCCTTCTACTGTTTACTTCTTAAACAGTCTAATAGCAAAGGCTGAGCCACGTTAAAACTTTATCTGGATCTCCCACATGGGTCACAAGGCCCCAAAGACTTGGACCATCTTCTGCTTCTCTCCCAGATGCATTAACAGGGAGCTGGACTAGAAGCAGAGCAGTGGAAACTAGAACCGCCACATAAATGGGATGCCAGCCAGAGGCTTAAATTACTGTACCACAACACTGGCTCTAAATAGATTCTAATAAGCAAAGAAACCTAAGTAACATTAGTTTCAATGTGTCCTCCAAAACTCATGTGTGGGAAACCTGACCCCCAAAGCCCCAGTGCTGACAGGTGAGGGTCTCGGGGAGGCTTCCAGTCACAAGGGCTCATACTTGCATTCATTCTGCTACTAAAAAGGACTTAGGGCAGTGAGTTTGCCCTCCTGTTTTTCTATCTAGTAGGATACATTTGTCCACACTTGGCCCTTCCTCCATGAGAGAACAAAGTAAAACAAACAAACAAACAAAAACCTTCTAAGACATCAGACAAGGGCACTTAATTTTGGATTTCTTAGGCTTCAGAGAAATAAATATCTGCTCTTTATAAATTGCCTGGCCTCAGATATTCTGGCACAGCAGCACAAAACATAAGCAGTCATTTTAAAACTTCCAGCAAGGAAAAGCATTGGCCCATATGGCTTTGTTATTAAGTTTGGGCAAATATTTAAAGAACACTAGCCCTTTACAAACACGAAAGAACAAAAGGCAGACTACTCCTCAACTCACTGTACGAGGCAAACAGACCAAGATACCAAGTACACCATGATACCAAGACTAGTATTCTTGATACCCAAATATCAGAATAAAAAAAAACCTACAGGATAGTATCCCTTTATAAATATAAGCACACAAATCCATGAAAAAATACCAACAAGCTGAATTCAGCAACACATTAAAAAAAAATCGTATGCCATGTCCAAATGGGATTTTTTTCTCAAGAATGGAAGACTGGTAAATATAGAAACAAATCTGCAGCTGGCTTAACTGGCCAATTCTCTGCCTATAAGTGTCAGCATCCTATGTGGGTGCTGATTTGTGTCCTGGCAACTCCACTTCCCTTCCAGCTCCCTGCTTGAGGCCCAGGAAAGCAGTGGAAGAGGGCCCAGAGCCTAGGGATCCTGCACCCATGTGGAAGACTAAGAAGAACCTCCTGGCTTTGGATCGGCTCAGTTCCAGCCATGGAGGCCATTTGGGGAAGGAACCAGCAAAAGGAAGATCTTTATCTCTGTCTCATCTTCTCTCTGTAAATATGCCTTTTTAATAAAAATAAATAAATTAAAAAAAAAAACAAGGTAACTAAACCACACTACTGAAATAAGGAGTAAAATCCACAATCTCAATAAATGCAGAAAAAGCACTTGATAAAAATCCAATACTCTTTTCCATTAGAAACACTCAACAAGCTAGGAATGGAAGGAACTTTCCATAAATGGGCAAACTTGCATTATGTTTAATGCTGAAAGACTGTTTCCCTCCAACATCAAGAGAGGTCCACTCTTGTCACTTCCACTCAGCACTGCATGAGAAGTGAAGACAGACTAAATACAGAAATAAGACAACCAAAATCGAAAGGAAGAGATTAAACTCTAGTTGCAGAAAATGTGATTTAAGTTTTTCTTAGATTCTAAAGATTAAACTAAAAATTAATATTTGAATTCAGTAAGCATGTAGGATAGATGAGCAATACTCAAAAAATCAGTTTACTTTCTACACATGAGAAATGAGTAAGAAAGATGAAGCATAAATTTTCATTTATAATAGCATCAAATAAAATGAAATTCTTAGGAACAGATTTAACAGATAAATTGTATAAGTTATACTTTAAAACCAACAACAAAAAAATTACTGAAGGAATCTGAGAAGGCCTAAATAAATGGAAACCTATCAAGTGTTCATGGATTAGATGATTTAGCAATATCCCTTGGGCTGATCTACAGACTAAAGGCAAGTTACCAAAATCACTGCTGCCTGTTCCACAGATATTAGGAAAGCATATGTAAAATAAAAATAAATAGAACAACAAACTCATGAGTTAGAAGGCTTCATATTGTTAAGCTAGGGCCTGGTGCAGTAGCCTAGTGGCTAAAGCCCTGCCTTGCATGCATCAGAATCCCATATGGTACCAGTTGGTGTCCCACAACCCCACTTCCAATTCAGCTCCCCTCTTTTGGCCTGGAAAAGCAGTAGAGGACAGCCCAAAACCTTGGGACCCTGCACCCATGTGGGAGACCCAGAAGAGGATCATGGCTCCTGGCTTCGGATTAGCTCAACTCTGGTCGTTGAGGCCTCCTGGGGAGTGAATCAGTGGAGGTAAGCTCTTCCTGTCTGTCTCTTCTCTCTGTATGTCTGACTTTCCAATAATAATAAATAAATCTTTAAAGAAACTATTTTAAAGATAGTGATTTCTCCAAAACTAATCTAGAGTCAATGCATTTGCATGTGGAAAGACAAAGCGTCTAGACTAGACAAATCAATTTTGAAAACAAACAAAAACGTTGGAAGATTTCAGGTACCAGATTTTAAGGTTTGTTACAAAGTCACAGAATAATCAAGACAGTGCATTACTTGTATAAGGATAGACACAGAGATCCATAAAACAGAATAAAAATCTGGAATTAGATCCACATTTCAAAGTTAACTGTTTTTTGACAAAGACATTGGGTAATTCAACGGAAACAAAACAATCTTATTAATAAAGAGTACAGGAATTCCAGGCTGCAATATGAGAAAAAGTTTCCTGAACTTTATCATGCATCATATACAAAAAGCAAATTCAAGAGAAATTACACGTCCTCCATGTTGGGTACAGGATCCCAAGTGCTAAAACTATTAAATTTCTTCCAGAAAAACAGAAGGTCTTGATGACCCTGAATTAGACAAGAACTCTTAGAATATTAAAACTCTGAACTACACAGGAAAAAAAGGTAAGATGGACAATATCAAGATTAAACATTTTTTTATCTACAAAAAAAGGGTAAAGAAAACAAAATACCAATAAACACAACAAGATGAATCCCAGAAACATCATGATAAGTGAATATCAAAGATTGTTGTGAAACTCCGTATACATAAAATATAATGACAGAAGATCAGTAATTGTCCGGAGATGGGGAAGCGTCAAGTACAAAAGGCAAGAGGAAATATTTGAGTATGAGAAACTAGTTTTTTTCTGCCATCTGATTATACTGGTGAATGACTGATTACATATGATTACCAAAATTTACACAGTACACAAACACTGGTAAGATTCCTGGCATTTAACTAATACCTTAAAATGTAAAAAGACAAAAAAACATTAAGATTCAGAAAATTATTACCTGTTAGTGTCTTTCCTGCATTCAAAGGAGGAGCAATGACTTTGAAAAGTTTCTGCATTAAAATGAAAATGAAAACAATCACTATCAGTTCCAATGGTATTTTTGAAATACAGTCAAGAGTCAGATGCTGTCAATCACCTTTATCTGATGGAATTAGTCATTTGCTAATGAGATGAAATATAAAAGCTTAACATACTCAGAAGCTGTTTATAAGAATCATTAAGAAAGAACTGTGATATTCCTCAGAGAAAGAAACCATTTAATGAACAGCAGTTACATGAAGGTCTAGGGTGAGATCACAGTTTATAATAAAACATACCTTAGATTCTTAAAATATTCTTGCTCTTTAAAAGCAAATAAGCAAATGAGAGAAGTAACGTCTTACCAAAGTGATAATACAGTTTAAACTGAAAAAAATCTAAACCATCAGCAGCCACAGAAACATTAAACAGGGCCTTCCCAATTACAACCTTGGATGTCTCTCAGAGGGAGGCCCGCTAGAAGTAGGCTCCTGTCTGGGAAAAGACTGACCATTAGCAGCAGGAAGTATACTTCCACAAATCTACTAGCATCAAAACGTCCCCCAAAGCTAACCGTTCCTTTCTTCTTGTTGTTCTTCTATTTTTTTTCAAGATTTATTTATTTTCATTGAAAAGGAAATTTTATAAGGAGAGACAAAGATCTTCCATTTGCTGATTCACCCCCAAACAGCCACAATGGATGGAGCTTCTTCCAAGTCCCCCATGCTGGGTACAGGATCCCAAGCCTTTGGATCCTCCTCCACTGCTTTCCCAGGCTATAAGAAAGGAACTGGATGGGAAGTGGAACAGCAAGGACACAAAGCAGCAAACATGGGATGCTAGTGTTTGCAGGTGGATAATTAGCCAGTTGAGTCATGGCGCCACCCTCAGAACTAACCCTGGGTAGCTATTCATACAGTGTTCCCATAAACTTCTGTCTTCCCTCTTGTCAATATGTATGTCACTGCTTATTTTAAGTCCCAATATTCCCTATCACTCCTCCAACCTTATGACCTAAGTTAGTAAAAGAATTGTTCCTCCCAACATAAGGCATTATATTTAAAACTAAGAAATGTTTTCAGGGGGATAGTGGTCATCTCAGATGTGATCGGATTGTTATCCAATCTGGAAAACCTAGAACATTTTATTTGTTTTTTTATTGGAAAGGCAGATATACAGAGAGGAGAGACAACTCCCAAGCAGCTGCAACAGCTGGATCTGAGCCAATCTGACACCAGGAGTCAGGAGTCTCTTCCAGGTCTCCCAAGTGGGTGCAGGGTCCCAAGGCTTTGCACCATCCTCAACTGCTTTCCCAGGTCACAAGCAGGGAGCTGGGTGGAAAGCACGGCCACTGGCATTAGAACCAGCACCCACACGGGATCACAGTGCATGCAAGGCGAGGACCTTAGCCGCTAGGCTACCATGCTGGGCCCAAATCTAGAACATTTTAAAGGAATAGATATCTCCTCTTAATCCAGGTCTCTTTAAGTGTTAAAACACTACAAAATATTACACTTGGTGTACACAAAAGTATTACACTAAAAAGTGATTTTCTGCTACACAGAGAATTACAAAGGAGGATTTACATCCCCTCCCACTGCTGAAGTCTCCAAATGACTGTCTAATAACACACCAAGCTCCTGCTGAAAGCCACCGCACCCAAAGACCACTCTGAATACAAACAGGGCAACCTCAGTAGCCCAGTATACTGGAGATGTTTATGTACTTGTATAAATGTAAACCAGATTGTGGGGAAGAAAAACCTCATGCAAAACAAAAATTTCAAAAACAACATAAAAAGACATCAATTGTTTTCCTCAACATAGGTATATCAAATTACAATCCGTTTTGAAGAAAATGAAACACTGCCTTAAATCTTTGCACACAGGTAGCTATGGTACCTTTCTGAGAAGGCAGCTCTAAGACATCTAAGGCCAAACAATACTATCTTGATATTCACACACTCAGGGTCAAAACCAGGAGAGAGGGACATGGCACTCATAGTAAAAACTGTTCAACTGAAGGGGCTGGCACTGGGCCACAGCAAGTTAAGCTGCTGCCTAGATACCAGTATCCACTGGTTTGAGTGTGAGCAGCTCTATTCCAATCCAGCAGATGGAAGATCTGTCTCTCAGTAATTATGGCTTTCAAATAAACAAATAAATCTTTAAAAAGAAAAGAAACAAAGAAGAGAACTTGACGACAGGAGAGAAGTGCACCAAAATGGGAAATTATAAATGAGAGGAATATCATCCTACCAATCTCAAGGTACGTAAAGAAGCCTGAAATCATAGACTGCTGACTCAGCGGCAGTGTGGATGTCACTGAACCCCATGATGTAAAAGCACGGTCTAGACCCAAGACCTTTTCCTTCAACCTAGATGTTCTTATCTGTTTCCCTTAATCCACTAAACTGAGAGAAGGGCCAACTACAAGGTTCCAACCACAAGGAGTCTCCTGTTCGGAGATGAGAACCTTAACAGCCAGCATTATCTGGAAGTAAATCCTGGAGAAAATTTAACTGCATTCATGTAAGCTCCCAGGTGAGCTTGAGCCCCAAAAGGTCATGGCAATGCTGGGCAATCAGGAACCTTGCATGGTCGTACCTCTCAGCCTCAATTTTCTGTCTGTAAGAACCTTCAGCCCTGACTACTCTAGGACCTGGGAATAAGGCCACAGCTGCCCGGGGCTGTGTACTTTACAATAAAGAGCTACTTTCTTCCACCATGCTGATACATGACTGGCTTTCTGCACTTTGGTGAGCTGGCCCAGTTTCTGGGTTCTACAATAATGGCTTAAACCAGTTGTTAAACTATAGTTTTGGATGACCTTAAATTTGTGAACGAGTTGCCTTGATGCCTTCAATGAATATGTCACATTTTTTTAAGAGTCACCATATTAAAGCAATGGGCTGGGAGGGAATTACATACATTTGAAATCCATTATCTACAATTCTGTATTCAAATTTAAGGCAAATAATAACATAGGCATGCAATTTGGTTCTAAGAGTCTAAGAGTCTATAAGTCCAAATGCTTTTTAGACTCTCTTGGTAGGCAAAATAAGAAAATATATACATATATTATATATATATAATGAATGCTATAAAATTCTGCATTTGGAAAAGCAACAAATTAACAAATAATGACTTGTACCGTTTTGAGGACAGGTTCCCCAGAAGAACAGATCTACAGATAGCATTCTCCAAGAGTGCATTTATTATATAACAATATTATATAAAATATACTTCTTATGTCCTTTGTTACTATAGCATTCTTAAGAGGAAAAAAAAAACTTGAAATCTAACAAGCTTGCATTATTTTTATCTATTGTTCCTTAGGATTTAAATACCTACTTAGGCATAATAAAAAAGAATGCAGTGGCATAAAGCATAAAATTAATGACTACTTGTAAGTCCAGTGCTAAAAAGAGAACACAAGTAATAATTCTAGAAGAGATTTAAAGAGGACTAAATAAAAACAAAATCTATTCAAAGGAAAGAGAATGGGAAGAAATTAATAGACAATACTAAATATGTGTCTGAGTAAGAAAGTATCTTACCTCCATTGGACTAATAAACTCATTCATGCCTCTGTTGTAGACATAGATCATAGCATCATACAGACGATTTTCCCAACACATGAGAACCACCTGTAAAAAGAAAAAGTAATTTAGTCCACACAGCTCAGTACATTTCAGCAAGGATTCTCCTTGGAGCTGTAGGTTTGAAGATGATCTTAAAATAATTTTTTTATATTCCTTCTCTAGTAAAAGAAGAACTGAAAAGTATTTAAACACAATGCCAGGCTAATAACTGTTTTGGGATCAATAGCATTCTTAATAATATAATAATTATTTTCAACATGTTCCTGTTATGGGGTGCAGCCAGTGATAGCCAGCACCCATTGACAGTGGGCAAAAGAAATTTGGCTGTGTCCCCTATCTTCTGTCCTGAAAATGGGTCCTAACACCAATGGAATGATAATTCCATCTTCAACCACTTTCCCCACATCCTAATTTAGTCAGGATATTGGATGTAGACAAGTCCAATTAGTCTAGGCATTTTTAGCTACAAGCCTAGTTCCTGTTCCTGCCCAACCCAACCAACACTAATCAACTCCTTAGCCCACAACACTTAGGTATTCGCTCCTGCCCACCTGTGACTCACCTATCAACTAAGAGGGGATGTATTGCATTGTCGTGTAACCACTCCCCTCACAAGCCCTTTAAAAGGCCCATGAAGTGGGAGCTCTCACTCTCTTTCTGGCCTGGTGCTTCCATTACTCTGGCACCTCAACTCTTGGCTGACCCAGGACAGGTAATCCCCTGAGCATGGTTCCTGTGTACTGCTTAGATGGACCAATGGTTATAATAATGTTGTTTCTGGTTTGTGTGCTGTCAGGAGTTCCAGGAGGGGTGAGGCCTAGCAGTAGTGGAATGTGGGCAGAGAAGCCAGGGAAAGGTGAATGTCCGCAGCTTATAAGTGTGTCCAGGTCCTTTGTGAGCGTGTCCAGGTTATTCATTGCATGTCTCTTAGGATACCTTAGACTGTTGGGGAAGCTGGGACATAGGTCTTCAGCTCAATGGATAGACTTAAGGATAATGACCATTTGTTCCTTTTGGGATTATGTTTGGTTGGATTGCTGTATAGAGTTGTGATTTGCTATTGTGCTCCATTATCACCAAGCTTGGTTAATAAAGACTCCTTGTCTGGTGTGATGTTGCTCGCACCCTGCAACAGTCTCATATCTTCGTTTTGCTTCTGTTTTATCCTCCTCCTCCTTTTACTTTGTTGATAGTTCTACAAATATTTACACTCAGACTCTCAGAGGCCAGAGGATAAAGTAACAAACAAGACAGATCCTGACCTATTCCCTGCTATTATAGAATCTATTCATCTTGAACATTCATCAAAAGGAGGGTGAGGCACACACTAGTAAGTATGTTAGTTAAGGGTCGGGGTGACAGTCAACTACACAAATAACTAATTATAAACCAATCTGACTCAGTCTAGAGTGTACAAAATATCAGGCCCGAAGGAGCAAACATTAGGCTAGGATCTAACGGATGCATTCATATAAGCCAAAGACAGAAGTGTAAATGAGAGATTATGCAAGCACAGTGAGGAGAGAGGAATTTGAAGTGTTAGAAGATGGAGAGAAATTGATTTGAGAGAATATATAGGAAGAGTAGATATGACTTGGAGTGCTGACAGCTGCAGAATGCCACAGAGGGATGAGGAAGGTGAAGCAGACATGTTAAGACATAAATGAGTAGCCAAAGGGGTAAGCGGAAAAATGGAAATGAGGAGACTCAGCCTTTCTGGAAGAAGGCATGCTCTAGAATCTTCCTTTTTGTTCTCTCTCTCTCAACTCCTCTCTTTCTTTCTCTGTACCATCATCAACTGTCTCTTCACTAATGACTAAAACCTTTATGCCTGTAGGCCTGATTTTCCTCTGATCCATACACCCAACTATTTCCTTGATATTGCTTTCTGAATGCCTACAGTGATCTAGAAACAGCACATTTTGTCTCACATATTTAAGACCTGCCCTAATCCTCTCAGTCCTCTTAAAAGAATCACTTTGCAGGCTGCTTAACACCCAATGAGCAAATTCTACACCCCATATCCAAAACCAGGCCAACTCTCTCCGTCTCACTACTACCTCTCTATACAGGATCAGGTCCCCTTTCCTCGCTGTGTTATCTATAAAGCAAACCACCACCATCTCACTAAAAACTTACTAGTGCTTCCTCATAGCACTTACTATAAAAATGGAAAACCTTGGTCCACTTCTTTCATCAAACTCCAGATCTGGCGGTCTTTTTAACTGCTACTTGAATATCCCAGGGATACTCCTTTTTCAGATACACTATTGCTTTTATTCATTACAACTCTGTTCCAAAATCTTTGTCTTACTAATTTCTACTTGTCATGCAGCCTCCAAGACTCGATGTTCCTTCCTCACAGATGCTTTCTATAATTAACCAACCTACCAGCCCTTTCATTCTTCACCATAACACCCTATTTGATTTTTGGCATGGCACTTGTTTTTTAATATCTCCTGGCTGGTTATCCACATGTTGTCATACATCTCTGCTAAACTTCAAGCTTTGTGGAAGGACAAACCTTGTTCATCACAGTCACTGAAGCACCCTGAGAGCCTGGCACTCAATACATGCTTCTGGAAGTAATGAAGCCACACTGCCAAAAGACTAAGTCCAATAAGTGTTGAAAAAACACTGCTTGATGCAGTGGGTACAGAGGTCACTGCTTATCCTAGAGAGTTATTAACATGTGGAAAAACATGGAAGCAGCACAAAAGATAATGCTTTCATGAACTATAGCCACAACCAGAAGGCATGCGATGTGACAGTAATCCAGGGATAGGAAGGCAAGGAGACTTCATACACACAGGTGAGAAACTGAGGGGGAGATTTCGTACTGATCATTTTAACATGAAACAGAATACAGAACATTTACATGGTGAATAAGCTGGAAAAAACCTGGGAAGAGAAGAAATTTTAAAATTCTGTATTTCAGGTATAAAGAGCTGGGCTAATAATCACTAGACATACTGTCATTCTGTGAACACTAAGCCAATTTATAGATGTCAGAGGAGGGCCTGAAAAAAAGAAAAGCAGAAACAGAGGATCTGACTTTCACTTGTCAAACTCACAGCAATTCATCAAGAACTTCTAAAAAGAAAACAATAAACACTTTTCCAAAACTTTCATTTCTATGCAATTTTGCACAATTTTGTATTAAACAAACAAACAAACAAAAAAACCCCAAACACCCTCCCTTTTGGTCTTTCTAAGGCCTTTGTTTAGGTGTTCACATTTTAGTTCAAGAGGATTTATAACCTTTTCAGGAGTAACATGCTCATTATTAGGACTGATGTGAAATTAAATTGTGAAATATGTTAAGTCAGAACAGAAACTGCTTCCCAATTAAGAACTTCCAATGATGACCTGAAGTACCATTTATATACCTCAAGTACCATTTCCAAACAATAGGTGAGCTACTCATGCTAAGAAGCTCTACATTTCAAAATTCAAGTCTGGACTTAACCTATTACAAACTATTGCCCTTTTAATAGGACATTTATAAAGACCTAAACTGAGTAATACATGTACCACTTACGCTAACTGTGAATTAAATACTATATCACTAAAATACAGGAACAGAAAATTTATGTCTTAATAAGCTTAAAATACTAGTTAATTTAAAAATGGCATAATGAGATTAATGCTGTGGCATATCAGGTAAAGCTGTCATCTGCAACATAAGCATCTCAGACAGGTACCAATTTGTGTCCTGATAGAACTACTTCCTATGCAGACCCCTGCTAACTGTCCAGGAAGAGCAGCAGAAAGATGGATGAAGCGTTTGGTCATCACGCAGGAGACCTGGATGAAGTTCCTGGCTTTGGCTGAAGCCCAGCCCTGGCCATTGTGGCCATCTTGGGAGATACAACCAGCAGATGGAAGATATTTCTTTCCATTTCTCGCTTTCTCTCTTTCTATAATTCTGACTTTCTAAACAAATAAATAGATGTTTTAAAATATAGAAAAATATTCTTAAAAGCAAAAAATATTCTATCATTCTTGTCAAAAGTACCCACGGTTGAAATATACCTATGCCAACTTAAATGGATAAAAGCCATTTGAGAGAACAAACCAAAAAAGATAGATCAGTCAACAAGTTTTCAATGAGTAATGCCCCATACCAAGAATTTCAGGAATGTAAAAGATATAGAAGATTTAATTTTCTGATTCAAAGCATATAAAATCCAGCTTTCACTTAAATATACACAAATGTTAAGTTTGTCAGACTTTTCACAACAAGCATTTGTTAAATAACAGGCTTTTCAGAAGACAGGAGGAGGGCTTATCAGCCAGGTAAATAGAATTTCTTCTGCATATTAGCAAACTGTCCATAACCCACCTGCTGAATATCTAGGCTGGTGATATCCATATGTACAATGAGGGCTTCCACATTTTCCATTAACTTCTTATCTTGGAAATGAACAAGCAAGTCTTTCATGACCTGGGGTGTGATGCCCACCAATTTATCACTTAAAATATATGGCTCAAGGCACTCCAAAAACACTCCTTTGGCCACTGAATTCTCACTTAACTTGTCATACATCTGGCTAAATAAAAGGTCCCTAAAACAGAAAGGAGAAAATATAATTTTAGGAACATTACAAGCATCTATTACATTTAAAATGCTAAGATTATCTCACATTTTCTCTATTTCAACTCATACACAAACTTAGTAAAATAATAGCAATATCTTCACAAGCTTTCTACACCAAAAACCTTTCTAGTATACATCACATCAGTTAATTGCCTCAATACTTGATTTACAAGAAAGAAAAAGGAAAACACTAAATTATTTGCTGAAAAGTCTCATTCACAAATAAATAACAGAGTCAGAATTCAAACCCAGTTTTCTGGGCTAAATTCTGAGCTCAGGTTCTTGCAGTAAACTCCTTCTTAAAAACAAGAATGCTGCCTGGTGCTGTAGCCCAGTGGCTAAAGTCCTTGCCTTTCATGCACCAGGATCCCACATGGACACTGATTCTAGTCCCGGCAGCCCCACTTCCCATCCAGCTTCCTGCTTGTGGCCTGGGAAAGCAGTGGAGGATGGTGCAAAGCCTTGGGACCCTGCATCTATGTGGGAGACCCGGAAGCAGCTCCTGGCTTTGGATTGGCTCAAGCTCTGGCCATTGTGGCAACCTGGGGAGTGAATTAGCAGATGGAAGATCTTCCTCTCAGTCTCTCCTCCTCTCTGTATATCCAACTTTCCAATAAAAAAAAAAAGTGCTAAGCAGGAGACAGAGTGGACAAGACAAAGTAGGGCAAAAAACACTATTCCTGTAATATATCCTTTCCTGCTATCTATACATTCTTAACTGATCTGTGTAGTGAATGTCTCTTTATTCAACCATAATCCTATGCTTCCCCCAGAAGGGTCTAGACAATGAGCTCTGATGCGAGAAGAAAAAAGATTTTAATTTTTAAAATACATTCCTGGAAACATTCTTATTATAAGAACAAATTTTTAAATCACTCTCAATGCTATAACCTTCAGTAACTGTATAGCATTTGTTTCACTTTTTTTTTTTAGATTTATTTATTTTTATTTCAAAGTCAGATATACAGAGATGAGGAGAGACCGAGAAGATCTTCAATCTGTTGATTCATTCCCCAAGTGGCTGCAACAGATGCAAAAGCCAGGAACCTGGAGCCTCTTCCAGATCTCCCATGCAGGTACAGGGTTCCAAGGCTTTAGGCCATTCTCAACTGGTTTCTCAGGCCACAGAGAGCTGGATGGGAAGTGGGGCTGCTGGGATTAGAACCAGTGCCCATATAGAATCCTGGCGCACGCAAGGTGAGACCTTTAACTACTAGGCTATGGAGCTTGGCCCATGTTTCACATTTCTTTTGTAAACAGCCCATAACATTTGAGTTACAATCAACATAGGTGTAACTCTGCAACATTGTGTGATAAATATTACTACTAACATGTTGTCTCACTAAGCTTTGAAGCATCAACATATGCTGCCACCAGAATGCTAATTGTATTCATTTCACCAAATAACTATGAGGTTTCTTCCCCATCCTCCGCCGCAACTTACAGTAAGTGCAAATTAAGCAACATTACGATCCCTGTTCTTTGATGATGGGCATATGCGAATCTTTGTGACTTGCATTACCCTGTACAATCCATTTATTCATTCACTCATTTTTTAAAAAATAAACCATTAATTCTATTTACTCCCCAAAAATGTGCAGGTTTTTTTTTTTTTTTATGTGAGTATGTCGACTGTTGAAAGTGGTAATAGCTTACTTATCCTGAGTTATTTTTTGTGTGTGACAAGTTCCAGCCACCCCCGGAAAGCAATGCACTGGGGCTGGGCCTTGCGAGGTATGTAGAGGGACAGGTGGCGAATAGCTGCCAGAGGCTGCCCTGCAAGCACGTGCCACCTGTCAATCAGCAGCATTCCCAGTGTCCTGGGGGGAAAATCTATACCCATATTTTTTCCTCGAATGCACACATGTAATTTTTGTATTATTTCCCCCCTTCACTGCACAGGTTATTTATCAAAGTATTTTTCATGCTGGTTTCATTTTAATCAATAGTTCATCACATTTCTGTGATTATCAATTACTAACCAAGCAAAAGATACTGAGATTAATTTTTGCTCTAAGACCGAAAAAGAGTAACAAAAGAATTCTACTGAAATCAAGGAAAATGTCATATTTGCAACTCGTTAAAATGTCAATAAAATCAAATGCTAAGGCAGACACCTGTGTATTCTTAGTCCGATACTAAATGTCTTAGGGAATTTCAAGAGTTCAAACTTCACTAAGCACAGCATATGAATTGGTGAAGAAGGTATGCCTGTGACAAAAAGCAAGTGGCCACAATGTTGTAAGATGAATGACAAAATGATCTATTTCTTTCCTAATCGGTGGAAGGCTATAATAAAGCAGCATGTCTTCCCTTAAAAAAAAAAAAAAAGAAATTCTGATCATCATCTGAGCAGCAGAGAACAGAGAGGAAGGCACACACAGAATGCTAGCTCTTGAGCTCTCACAAGCATCTTTCTATTTGCAGATATCACTTTGTACACAATTGACTGCATACTTTAAAATAAAGGGATACTTCCATTACAAGAAAAAAAGAAATTCAGTGAGTGTCTGTAGGGAGTAAGAACAGCAACGCTAACACTGCTCAGTCAATACTAAGGACATAACTGGAACCAAAGAAATGCATTTCCACTAAGTCTAGACAGGATTTAGTAAATCCAAAGCCAATTTGGTTTACTCTAGTTACTTATAAAAATAATAGCAAACTCGAACTGAACTTTATGAAACCATGTACAAAATGTTCTGTTTTCTGTTCTAAGTTTTATCATTTATAAACATTTTCTTTCAAAATCTTTGAAATCTAGGGCCCAGCATGGTAACCTAGTGGTTAACGTCCTCGCCTTGCACATGCCAGGATCACATATGGGCACCAGTTGATATCCCAGCTGCTCCACTTTGCAACAGCTCCCTGCTTGTGGCCTGGGAAAGCAGTAGAGGATGGCCCAAAGTCTTGTGACCCTGAACCCACATGAGAGACCCAGAAGAAGCTCTTGTCTCCTGGCTTCGGATGGGCTCAGCTCTGTCCATTGCAGCCACTTGGGGAGTGAACCATCGGACGGAAGATCTTCCTCTCTGTTTTTCCTTTTCTCTGTAAATCCTACTTTCCAACAAAAACAAATAAATCTTAAAAAGAAAAAAAGTCTGGCTAAACTAAGATGATGGTTGCAAAACTCTGAGTATACAGTCAGCACAAAGTTCTTTATATCTTTTTAAAAATTTCTTTGTATCTTTTTAAAAGATTTATTTATTTTTATTGGAAAGTGAGATTTACAGAGAGAAGGACAGACAGAAAGATCTTCTTTCTGCTGGTTTACTCCCCAAATGTCTGCAATGACCAGAGCTGAGCCGATCTAAAGCCAGGAGCCAGGACTTTCTTCCAGATCTCCATCTGGGTGCAGGGTCCCAAGCACCTGGACCATCCTCTGCCGTTTGCTCAAGCCACAGGCAGGAAGCTGGATGGGAAGTGGAGCAGCCAGGACATGAGCCAGCTTCCATAAGGGATCCTAGTGCACGCAAGGCAACTATTTAGCCACTAGGCAATCTCACTTGAACCAATTTATTCATATCTTAAAATAATTGTTACATAGCTTAAAAAGATAAAGTGCATTTCCCTTCCAACTCTGAGATAAAAGATTTTAACATGCAATTAGGATAAGAATGTTTATACAAAACATCTTTTCCTCAAGATGCTTGATTATTGATTGTTCTGCTTCTCAAATAACAATTCTAATGTAGAATAACACAATGGAAAACATACCCTGGATATAAAAGGATGACTTTAGGTCAATTTTGTATTTACCAAACATATTTTTAATTTAGACTCATTTATGACCAAATCATCTGACATATGGCTCCTTAACAGTTTTCAATATTGCTTTTAGTGATATAAACTCAAAGTGGCATCATCCAAAAATAACCATATTTCTGCAGTTTTATGTTATTTTAAATATTTATTTATTTTTATTGCAAAGGCAGATTTACAGTGAAGGAGAGACAGAAAGATCTTCTGTCTGCCGATTCATTCCCAAATGGCTGCAACAGCTGGAGCTGAGCCACTCCAAAGCCAGGAACTTGGAGCTTCTTCCAGGTCTTCCAAATGGGTGCAAGGTCCCTAAGATTTATGCCATCCTCCACTGTTTTCCCAGGCCATATACAGGGAGCTGGATGGGAAGTGGAGCAGCCAAGACAAGAACTAGGTTCTTATGGGATGACAGTGCTTGCAGGTGGAGGGTTAGCCAGTTAAGCCATTGTGCCAGCCCCTTAATATGGTTTTGTTGAGAAATAATAAATAACAATATAGGCACCTATTTTAAAATAATATTCCAAATTATGATTACAGTTCACATAAACTCTGAACTTACTTTCAAAATAAAACTGACATGGTGGGTTTCATTTTGTAAGATCTAAATTCAACATCTCTCATCCAAAATAATTAAGACTGGAAGTATCTGTATTTTTGAGAATTTGAAATTTTGCTTACACAGAATAAGATATTTTGGGAATGGAACCCAAACCTAAACACGGAATTCATCTGTGTGCACATCTTATACATTTAGCCTGAAGTAATTTTATTTTTAAATAAAATAGCAGATATACTTCCTTATTTTTTTATTTATTTTTATTGGAAAGGTAGATTTACAGAGAGAAGAAGAGACAAAGATGTTCTGGCTGCTGGTTCACTCCTTAAACGATTGCAACAGCTAGAACTGAGCCCATCCGAAGCCAGGAGCCAGGAGCTTCTCTGGGTCTCCTATGTGGATGCAGGGTCCCAAAGCTTTCAGCCATCCTCTACTGTTTCCCCAGGCCATAAGCAGGGAGCTGGATAGGAAGTGGAGCAACCAAGATGTGAATTCGTGCCCACAGAGTATCCCAGTGCTTGAAAGGGGAGGATTAGCCAATTGAGCCAATGCACCAGGCCCTCACCTGAAATAATTTTATATAGTAAGATTAATGCACCTGTGTTTTGACAGTGATCTGTTACATGAGGTCAGGTATGGAATTTTCCACT